TTTTTTCAAATGTTTACAAGGGATTGCTCAAACAACCACAGCATCGATTGATTGCTGTCAAAAAATCGTGGTCAAATCAGTGTGAGATAATTTTAAAAGTAGTAGGATGAATTTTAAAACCATGTTAGATTAAAATGGAAGTGAGAATTGTTGTATCCAAAGAATATAACAGGGTTATTGCTATCCGAAGTAGAACCTTAATCTTTCATTAATTTAGCTAACATTGCAGGATAAGTTGATGAATGAAATAAAAAAGAGCAAATTACTTTTTAAAGATATCAAATTTTTGCAAAATTCGGCTCTAAAATCATAAAGTTTCAAATAATACAAAAACCTCAGTCGTAGACGTTTTCCGGGGAAGTCAATTTCGAAAGTCAATTTAAACGAAAAATTCGTTTAAACAAAATTTTAAAACTTTAAAATGAAAACTTCTAGCAAATCACAGATCAACGGAAGTGCAAATTTTAATGATGTTGAACCGTATGCATCACAAAAATATTATTCAGCTGTTATATAGATTCAGCCAATCATATCCTGATCAGAAGGTTTATTACATTTCTTGATTTAAATTGCTGATCTTCTCTTTCTGTCATGAAGTACCTAGCAATTTGAACTTGATATAGTCAATTTTTTATATATTGATTCTGCCGGAGTGATTGAATTTTACAGATATGTACGGCATTGGTTTTTGAATTTTTTCCAATGAATTTATATGAGGTTCGAGAACGGTATGGTCCCCTAAGCATTTTGGATGTCAAATTGTATATTTGGCAACTATTCCGTGGACAAGCACATTTGGAAAAAGTTTGTTTTCTAATAGTTTAAGAAAGAAAATTTTGAGAAATCTCACATATTTTTTGATTACTTCTTATTGCAGAATAATGTCTGTCACAGAGATATAAAGCCACAAAATTTACTGGTAGATCATAAGAGTGGAATGCTTAAAATTTCCGATTTTGGATCTTCAAAAGTTAGTTATCATGCGATCTCGAATAAGAATAATTTTTCTACGAATGTTCTGAAAGTATTGTCTGAATAGTATGATCACCTTACAGATAATAGATGACAAAACGACATCATATCACTACCACGTGACCAGATATTATCGTGCCCCAGAACTCATTCTAGGCTCTATTCGATACCGATGCGAAATTGGTTACGCTTTCACCGGTTTTCTTCGTCTACCGCTGTTTATTCTGTTAGATGCTTGTATCTCAGCAATTTTTACGGGATGTCTTGCATAAAAGAGGCTCCATCTTGATCAGTCAGCAGTATTTTTTATGAAATGTTCTGAATTACTTTGCAAACCGTCTAGTCTGAGTATGATAATTTTTCAGCTCCATAGTTTGTTCATATCTACAAGATCTCTTCTCAATATAATAGAATTTGTTCCAGATCGATGGTCATGCGGTTGTGTATTTGGAGAACTTTTGAAAAACCACGTCTTATTTCCAGGTCAAACTACTAATCAACAGCTTCAGGTTATTTTTCATAACAAATTAATATACTGAATAAAATAATCTTGCAATCGTGTCATTTCTAGCTTGTCATCAACATATTAGGATATCCAAGTCCACGTGATATCGCAGCGATGCGAGTGACCACTGAAGTTCTTCAAAGCAATGACTTTCGTGATGATGTTCGTTTCGAATTTTTTGCAATATCTTTCAAACTGATATGGCATATATACTCTTCTTGAGGAGGTTTACAAAGAGAATTTAGCAAAATTTGATGTGCTTCTACACTTCCCTCAACTCTATTAAACTTCGAACTTCTGGTATAAGTCGTCTGTAAGGAGTTGAGCATTTTATTCATTGTATTTATGTTCTCAGATTTCTCAATTTGCCATTTATTTATTATCCATTCGGTTTGATCTTTACAAATTTGTTAAGTTAGATTTATTTTAGTAATATTATTTATTAAGAACTTATTAACCAGTTAACTTTTTAGATAATGAAGAAACCAAATCCTGGCGGTTTCAAAATGGTAAATTTTTCACAAAGTTCAGATTCGTTCTTAAAAACTCTACAGTTAATGCAGTAAAGAATTTCAGAAAATGATCACTTTCTGAGACAAATTATTTAACATTTATTTTATAGCTGGTAAAACGCGCTGATCATAATGCATTAAATTTATTGGCAAAAGTATTGGTATATGACCCAATTAACCGCTTGTCTGGTCCACGTTTTCTTGAAAACAGTTACTTCAGTGAATTATTCGATCCACGCACCAGACGCAACGGACAGCGCATTAAAATCCTTTCTAAAAAAGTATCTTTATTTCTAATTTCACGATTCTTCTATTGCTTTTTCTTAAGAATTAATTTTGCTTTCAATAAGTGACAAGCATTTCATATTTAACCAATTCAGATTTGTTATGCTTAAGAGCTTTACGGAAAGTTGGAAGATTTAAAGTATTTGTTAAAAGCTAACTATTTACTAATTAATAGGATATCATTTCGATTATCCATCATTAATTTCTTCTATTCAAACCTACTTTATCCTTAAAGGATTTTGAATGTGCGATTGCTGGTGACGAAATACTGACAGGATCCACTACGACAGACACCAGTGAAATGTGAATTCTTCATATAATTCCATAATTTAATCCCATAGTCTCTACATCATATAGCTGCCACCTGTTAGCTACACGTCGAATTTGATGGATAGCTGAAATACATTTGCATTAAAATTGTTTGCATTACTACATCACAATATAACAACACATACCCATAAACATTTGAAAGCATGCTACTGCTTTCATTTAGTTTAATATGTTTAAATTTATTTAACCTTTAATGAACTAAAACTTGCTCACTTATTTAAGCAAAACATTACGTTTTATTTTATTTAGTTATCAATAACTTTGATAGCTTGGCTGACCAGACTTTTTTTCTCTCTCTCTCTCTCTCTCTCTTTCTTAATTTGCAATAATATGATACTTTGGGGATTATGAAAGCTCTCATTATCTCCACTAGTTATTAAAGTGAATAAGGCTGATCTTTTTGAATAGCTATGTATATCGTGTGAGTCGATATAATTCCAAATGAAATGAGAAATTAACTTTTGTTATTATTACAGATCCGATATTACCAAGTAGAAAAACAATTCAACATTTGCTGAAAAAGCATAATTTTGCTAAAAATAACTTACGAACTTTGTCAGTTCCATAAAATTATGAAAAATAAATAATTTAAATTTGAAAAAAAAACAAGTGTATCAGTCAATAACGAGAATTGGAAATTTCATTAACGGAGATAACATCTTACTATTCTTCCAGTAGACTCTAAATAGCTCTTAGATTGGTCAATTAAATATTCATTGTCAATTCTTCATTTAGCATTTCGGTTTTCAAATAAGCGTTCTGCTATTGAGATGCATATAAGTACTTAGTCTCAATTTATTTAATTTCAAACGAGAAATACAGTTTAATTTAGTTCAAGTACAATATAATCTTCAAATCCATCTACAAGCAAAAAATCTGATCAGTTCGAATGATAATAGATGGGTGATTGGATCTGTAGTACCATCGTTTATCAGTCATGCAATATAGACTTTCACGTGGAAGACGCTTAAATCCTCTTATAGGAAAACGCTGAATTCTTTCATCTAATCTGTGTAATTGATGCACACCGTACGTCTCGTGTTTTGTATCATCTTCGCTTGGGTCCGCGTAATCACTAAAAAGTAAAATAATTTTATAATAACAATAATATTCCTACTTTTTGAAAGAGATTTTATGAAATTCCCAAAGTTTTGGAATCTCAAATTACCAAATCCGAAGTTTTCTCCCACTCTCACTCTTGTTCAAATGATGTTTCCATCTCTTTACAAATTATCTCAGTCGTTCATACTAATATCACTGATAAAAAATGATTGCTAAATGATTGAAATAGTGCAACTTACTCTAATTGCATTATATCGATTATTCGTCCTTGCAAAGCATGAAAACTGCGATTACAAGCGAATTCAGCACGCAAACAATAGCTGTCGTGATGGTACCATATTTTAGGTTTCACACACTTCAAACCTTTTTTGAGAATGGTGCAATTAGGTGGTTTAAATTCCGGGCATGCATGACATGCTATAATTTCATTGCGTTATCATTAGCATTAACATCAGCAGTGACAATTATCAACGTATCACTTCTATCATTTTGTTCATTACATCTTCCTCTGAGTCACATGGGTGACAAATTCTCAAAGGTTAATAGGATCAAACTATCTATAGTAGTCTGAGTGATACTAGAAAGACGGTTTGGATATACTATCATCCTTATCATCTACCACTGCTTTCTTAGAACTTTACCATATATGAAACTTCGATAACAAAAGAAATTTAACCTTCATTTTTAAGTCTTTTTTGCACATAGTACTGATAGAGATAATTGGTGACATTTAGTTCAGTAACAATATCCTCTAGATCGTTAATTGAGAGTGCTGGTTTGACGTCAAATTCTTGATCATAAAGACGTTTGGTATTTGGAAGACACGTTTGTGAAATTCGTATAATGTCAAAAATGAATAGAAGCCGAAAAGTCAACATGCTGGGATGGTTGTGAACAAAATGCTAGGTGTTGAAGTGGGAGAAGAAGAACAATCAAGGAAGGTGATTACAATTGATCGGAGGGAAGAGGTCACATTATAGGAGAGTTTTTAGTGGATCAATGTTGTTTAAAAATGAGGTCGAGTTAATGGTGATTGCTTTTGGGATAATTTTAACTGCAAATTTAGTAAATTTTGTTTTTAAAATAATAAGAATGTGGAGAATAAACATCTGTCATAGTAGATAATGTATTAAAAGTTAGATACAGAGATACTGAAAGAATTTAAAGAGACTTATGATCTGTTAATCTAGTTGGTACAATTTTATTTAACATCACATACTTATGGATAATATTTTCTGTTTCATTATTGACTTTTTAATTAAGTTAAACAAGCGAATTTTAAAAAAATTGATTTTTTTTTGATTAAGAATAACAATTAGTAAGAAGTGCAATCTCTATTGAAAACAAAATAATCTATCTACAGTAACATTCTGAGATTTATAAGTCTGTAGTTCAGCAACTGTAAGCCAGTCTTCCTGTTCCGTACAATTTGCATAGATGACCATTCGTAGACCTTCTGCTTCTGACAATGACCACCAATCCTGATGTAATCTATCCAAAAAATACAAATCGTATTCACTGCAATTATCCTTATGAAACTGTTAAACGGTGGGTTTTGAATTCGAATGAGAAATGCAATTATTTGTAAACTCATGTTAAAGATTTAAAAAATCATAGGAATATCAAAAAAGAAAATCCTAATAATAACATCAGTCTAGGCTTGTGTCCTAAAGTTCAATGTGACGTGACTTCTTGGCTAATCGTGTAAATAGCAGCAGATCTCGAAAGCTAATCAATTATTTTTGAAGAAATATCAGCGGAAATATCACGATTGTTATCAAACTTACCCGATGATAGTCCCAAGCACTGCCATTTGTTTAGTTCCACACCATGCTTTTGCTCTTAGGCATTCCCCGCGATCATCATAGATGACAGTAGGTTCCGAGCAGCCAAGACCGATGAATATCGAACAGTTCGGTGGTTCAATTTTTCGGCATCGTTGACATGCTGGTATTGTTTTTCCTATTATTAGTGCACAATGGCTATAAAACTAAGTAATAAAATGTCTTTAAAAATTTTTAGTTTAACTTTAGTAAAGATCTATAATTCAAAAGAGGCCGAAAAGAGTTTCTGATAAAAAACACAATGATAGTGCTTGCTAATTTCACATGATCAATGATTAAATAAATAATAATCGTTCTTCATGTTCCTTCGAAAATTGTAATATTTTAAATATTTAAAAAAAAAAAAAAATGCCACTGTTTTTGTGTCAAAGAGGAAGATACTTGTAAACGGCTCTTATTACTTCCCAAAAAACATTACCTTTCATGATCAACTGCCCCAGATCTCCCAAAATAGGATTGTAGATTAATAAATGGAACAGTGCTACAAAGTGATGAATATTTGACATTACACGTCGAAAAGTCCTGCAAGCATGAACTCTTAGTTTCTTGAACCTTAAGGCGATACAAGGATATAAGTATACTTTCAACCTAATCATCTACGTATGGAATAAGGATCGTTTTCAGTGCAATTCATTTGTTTTGATCAAGGAAAGTGAGATCTGGAAATTTTCAAAAGTAAGATACATATAAATTGAAAAAAGATACAAGTTTTATTTGAAGAAAGAAAAGAAACAGATTGTGCAAAAAAGACATTTCGCCATGATCGACGGATAGTAGGTGACATCTGCCGATGGCTACTTTTACAACGATTATATAAAGATCAATAGTAAGTGACCTAAGTTGCGAAAATTTTCATCTCAACGCATAATGAAAGTAATTTTTTTCCTATACTTAATGGAATTTTCATTTTTTTGAAAATGTCCTAATGCTTAATCGTTGGTTCTTTTTTTTTCGATTATCAGTTCAGTAGCAATGTTCAGTGATAACTCTGTCCTTTTCCAGCATCATTTATAGCTTTTGATCATTTTTCAATTTTCTGAAACTGTTTCATTATTTTTCAATTTTGTTACTATTATTTTGAAAAGTCCATTAATCTTTCATTTTTAACTATTTTTTGAAGTTAAATGAGAGGCTTGATAAGAAAGGAATTGTAATAGATAAGACTGATTCAGAAAATCGATTCCGAAGGAAAAGTAAAAGCACCTTAGATCGGCCGTGTAATTCGATTAGTTACTTTTTTGTATCACATTCTTCCAGCAGCATCTTATATCCAATCTGGTAATACCGGAGAGTCGTAAATACTTACTGATTTCCCAACTGCTCATCAAATTTAACTTTGCTAATCTCATCAATCTTTGTTACCATCAAAGATACCGTCCTTATTTCCCTCAGCTAATGATGATCTATTGCTAATTTTCTTTATTCCCTAATGAATCTGAGAAATTCTTCACTCTTTTGTTATCTAATCGAATACTTCTTCAGTCTTATCAATTCCCACTAATTTTATTTGCCGCTATTTCTATAATGATAATAAAGATTTAATAGATTTTTTAATATTTTCACGTCCTTCTTATCTATACCTCTAGTATATCGGGGGTGTAGGTCAATTTACTTAACATTTCTGTTTTGGAAGTTAGAAAATAGAAGTGAAAAATCAGCGGAATTTATTATGTCTTTGAGTTATCAAACGAAAAGAACTGTAAGTGATGAATTCTAATAGAGGTGGAGGTAGGTGAATCAATGAAATTCTATAAAATTCTGATGGAGACAAATTACAGTATTAAACTTCCAATTCACTGATAATTTTTGCCAATTTTTATCATTTCTTTTCAGAAACCAAATGTATTAGTAACTAACAGAGAAGAAATTTTTCCTTTATTGAATGAATTTCAAGTGCGGTACCTTTTTTTATTCTCTTTGAAATGTTATAATTCAATAGGCTATTGATTCTCAAAAATATCTGTGACACCACTAATAGTGCAATGAATTAATTTGTTGCTTTAACGGTCGCTTATTTCTTGCAACATCTTTCCTTCTCCTTGTCTTCCCTAAACAATGCTTTTATTTCAAATTTTTCTAAATTAGGAAGTAAGCTTGATTATCATCTACTAATTTATTTGCTCTACTACGACCGCTTGAAGGAAAAAACAAAAACAGCAGATGTTTGACAATGTCTGATTCTTTTAAACATTATAAGATATATTTCTATGATCTAAGTAAACATATTTGTTTGGCGTTTTCGAATCCAATTTTAGGAGCAAAAGCTGAAATCATAAAAAAAAAAGCAATTACCTAAAACTTTGGTATATGAGACTGAAATTATCTGTAGAAATGATCTATAATCTACATCTAATTATTCAAAACTCGACCGTAAAAGTGCCAAGATGTAACTTCTAGGCAATATAAGCTCAATGGACTAAGTCAAATTCAGATAATGGACTCAAGTTTAGATAATGAGCCTGAATTTCCAGAAGACATTTCAAAGATTTTCCAGATGAGGTAACAACATCAAGCTATTCTTAATGCAAAACTCAGCAATAGAAGTCTGAAACAATTTTTAAAATGTAACAACTGTTCCACAAAGGTAAATCTATCCTTCACAGGGAGAAGGAAGGAAGATTACTTGCCAATCACTTCTCGATCCCTGTGCCTAACTTCCCTCGTCTCTTTCACTCCAGCTACTATTGTCAGTATTATCAGCAACCCCAACCAAGAAAAAATTTTAAAAAAGCTGGATTTTCAGTGCCGTGGTTACCGCATCTTTTAATTCTTCCTCTCTTCTATCACCGCTCTCATCTTTCCCACTCTTTTCGGTAGTATCGAGAATTCCTGAATCTAAGAATTCAGAACTTTGCTTAACCTTTTCACTCTCTCACATTCATCACAAAAAATTCTCGGCCTGCTGCTTGTTCCACTAAGCATGATGCCTCCTTCTCGACAATATCCCTTGATGATATTTAACTTTAGATTCTCTCCAGCCCGCTTTCTTATCTAAAAAAAACGCACTATTTTTTTCCATTGAACATTTGAATATGAATTGAACTTTACTACCTTTTAAAATTTTCTTGTTATTATTTATTAAACTGTTGTTACCAGTATATTTCTCTTTTAATGATCATGCTACTGCTATTCCTGATATTTGTACATTTCTTAGAGATATTTACTTCATTTCACTCTGTAAATTGCGCTCTTTGAATAAATTCAGAAAGCTTATAACTTGATGATTGACTGGCGCTTTTAGCATAAATGAAAAATTTTGAGGATGGCTATAGAACTGAAAATGAAAAATAAATTTATTGTAAATTAAGTCGAAATAATTTTAAGTCGAAATAAGTTAAGTCGAAATAATTTAGATTTCTGTAACAAGAGTTGAAGGAAATAACTTTCTCCAAAAGCAAACTTTCCATTCAAATCATATAAATGCAAATTAAAGTAAATAGTAAAAAACTTGGAGTTATGGAAAATACTCGGCAGGAAAATAAGGTGAAGAGAAATAATTTCATGAAGTTATTCTTTCTGTTTCGATCATTGCTCGGCCTAACGTGATAATCCGATAAGTCATTCAGGTGTTGTTTTAATTGTTTACTTTTTTTTTTGTTTATCTTCCACCACCAGGACTAGATAACTCCAAGCGGATAATCAATCATAGATAAAACAGAACCATTTCAAGAATTCCATAAAATAAAAGGATTTGAGTCGGTCACCTCTATCACATCTTTCTCTCTATCCCTTTCAGTTATGAGAAAAATCATCTAATGAATTTATGGTTGTCACAATTTGCTACATTTTCTGCGTTGCACTTTTTCTCTCCAACTCATTAAAATTACAAGAACCAACAATAGCTCATTCAGCTAACATTTGCTGTAATTATTGAGTTCACTTTAATTTATTCCACACCATTTGTCTTAAACAATCTGACAGACGAATCTTAGGTCTAAAGTAAGATATCGAGGCTGAAATCATTTCGGTACGTCCTAATATGCTTTTTAACCTCATTACATTACAGATAATGTTCCACAGTTACATATGGAAGTTAAATCTACTACTGTTTAAAGTTAATTTGGTATTAGGTGGGCCGATGCGACTTGGTGCGAACAATAATGTTGATTCAGTGGTTTTGGCTGATAGCGAAAAGGCTGTTATCATCGATACTTCCACCTCATTTAGGGGTATTTATTTAACAATTTGCTAAACTATAGTTGTGATATAGCTTGGGAAGTAGGTGAAAAAGTAGGAAAAATATGATTTTATATATGATAAGATGAATCTGACATATGTTTTAATACAAATTTTACACAAATATTGTTGAAATTATTCAAGCATTCAGAATTTTCAATCTGATATGATTCAATTACAGAAAAAATAAGGCAATTGAATTTAATAACAACTACATCAGATATGTGCAAAATTTCATAAAAAGCCAGTTTTCGGAATGACTAATTAAACAATGGACAATGTGAGTGAATTACAGTAGAACGATTAGATACACCAATTGAGCGGATCGAGATACGGCTTATGGACGAGAACGCCACACAACCCGTTGTTATTGATATTCAGAAGTCAGTACAAAGTACTCCAACATCAAATGACGAAGAAATTGACAATTCAGTGATTGAATCAGGCAGCTTGAAGGAGAATAATGGAAACAAAAAGCGAAAAACAGAAGAGCAAAAGTTAGCGTCACTAGGAGGATTTGAACTTAAAGTGGAACGAAAAGTGGAACAGCATATCGTCCCCCGATCCGATCGTCGTTGGGACAATCATGAGCGAATTACTATTTCGCAGCCTGAATATGTTGATGATTTACCACCGATTGATATTGATGATGAGGTGAACTTTCTTTTTTTTGAAATGCCATTTATCATTAGCATTTTAACAAAAAAATAACAAAATGTTTTATTTAAAATGCGTTGGATCACAACATTTATGTTTCAAAAAGTTAACAAAGTATAAAGATAAGGAAGGAAAGAGTTGTTGATAACAAATACAACAAATTATGCAATGAAAGAAATATTTGAAAATTTTTTCTCATAGTTACACAGTTTCATAAATATAAGATACAATATTGCGTCAATCGTTCAATCTGAAAGTTCTCTTCACATGGTTACTCATTATTTTTGCAACATACATATTTAGTTTTATCGGAACTAAGTTGATTTCATTGTATGATTCTTTTTGCCGACTTGTTTCTAGAAGTAGTTAATATCATATTATCTCACTTTCTCATTCTACTGATTAGATTCGCTTATTTTATTCGTTATGATGAAGTTAAGAACATTCTATAATTTACCTGTTATATTCCTTGCAAAAGATAGCTTTAGAGCAATTTTCCAAAGACTTTTAAATGAACCAAATTAGCTTAAATGGGAATCAAATTTATGTGATGTTTACTGGTAAGTACAATTTGATGTATCATTTGCCATATATTAAAAATTTTTAAAGATGGATGTTCCAATGGAAACTCTGCGGATAGAATAAATATTTGTGCATTTCTTGACGTTCTTTGAATAAATTGAAATTGCAGGATGAAGCGTCATTTGAAGTGTTGCCAGTTGAAAAGTGTTATTTGAATCGTGAAAAGTTAACACCAGATATTCTGAACGACATGGATAGGGATAAACGGAATTTGTCCCGAATTCTCAGACAATACAATACACAGCTCCGAGCATACTGTAGCCCCGAGCATGAAGCACGGGATGAAGCTTTTAGGTTAGTATTTCAAAATCACAAAATATTCGTTTATGTCTTTAAATTTGTTCGTAAAATTTGAAATAAATCTTTTGCTTGTAGATCATGAATAGTTTAAATAGTACAGGTAGGTACGCAATCCAAAGCAATTACATATTAGATGCATGCGGAAATGAATCAGATAAGTTGTTATTATTATTTCTTAAACTTCTAGCTTATCGCTAAGAAAATGTTTAAGTGAAGACTGTAGTGTTTTGTGTATTACTTTCGGTGAATCTTCTTTTCTTTAAAACATTTTTGTTTAATTACTATTATTGAATTTAAGTATCTCTTTATTTAATAGTATTAATTTAGTATGAATTTTAATTTAATAATATGAATTTTGTTTAGAAACTGTCCGTTGTGGCGAGAAGAAAAAATGATACATTACTACAAATGGATGCGACTATTATATTGTTCGGATTATAACCTCTGGCCAAATGCACCTAAAATTAAGCGTTCATTTGGTGCTAATTTGCCACTTTTCGAAAAGCTTTATGCATTTATGCCAAAATGATATCACAGGTACAAAATGTTTGTTCCAAAAGAAAACACTGCGTTTCACTTTTAAAACCTCAGTTTTTATTTTCTTATTTTTTGTTTTCAAAAAGCTTAATGCATTTTAACTCTGTATGGTATCATTTTACATAAGATAGAAAGTATTTCATAGGTAGGATACAAAATATTTCTCCATCAATCGAAAAAGCCACTGTTTTGATGATCACTTATTGATAGGAAGTGTTAACGTATTGATTATTGGTAAGTGATAAGAGATAGTTGGAATATTTCTTCAAATTCTGTTTTGCTTAACAGACAACGCTAAGTAATAACGCCACTTATTTTTCATTCTTCGGATAGTGCACAGTAGGAACAACTTGTGTGTTCTCCAACGATAGCAGGCATATTTTTAACTTCTATTTAATTTATGTTTGTTTTATTCCACAAGTTTAAATTTATCGATCTTTTTCTTTTTTGTTAAAAATTATTTGAGAGTTAAACAGATGACATTTCTCTAATCTTTTTTGATGATAGAATTGAATTTGAAAATTTACAGCGTGATCGATTGCAGAAAGATTCAGTGAAATGTCATCTTAAATCATTCAGTGTCAAATATTTTAAATTACCGTTTAAAATGCCTTACCTGTAAAATTTTGTAATAATAGGTTTTTTTTTTTTTTTTTTTGGACTTTCTCTCGGCACTGAAACATTCGGCTATTTATGCGATAAATGCTGAGAGAAATTTATAACGAATGGAGGGATAATTTCATATTTGTTAATAAGAGCGCTATAATTGAATGATTTTGAAAAGGTTTTAGAAAAAATTAGCATATGAACTTGTTTTTGTTCTGTTTTTATCCGATGAATTACAATTTCTTATCGTTTCCGTGTAATATCGACGGAAAATGAAAGAAATGGAAAGAAGAATTGAAACAATTGTTCAAAGAACACGCAAAACAATCAGTTCTAATATCTGCTTCCACTCTCTTTTCACGTGTTTCTCATTCATTGTAGAATTCTGATCTTCTTCTGAAATTACTGATTACTTCAATTGTTAAGGGCTGTTCCAGAGCTGAAACTTTCTTATCTAAACGAAATAATTATAATTGATCTATACCGGATGTAAAATAACGAATTGAAGAGCACAATGATAGGAAAAGGCAGCTTTGTGCTCTAAAAACAAAAAGTAAAAAGATAGTTACTGCAATTTACAAATTTTAACTTTATTTATCTCTTCATTGAGAAAAAAATCATGAAGTATGCTTTATTTTGTTCTTTATTTAATTTAAGTTCAGTTGATTTAGCTCATTTCTCTTCCTAACTCTTCCTTTGATCATTAATATAAAAGCTTTAAAGAACGCATAAATTACAAAATGAATGCTTTTTTGAAATATTTCTCAAATAGTTTAAACCTCAATATGCTCCCTTGACCAAGAATTTTTTATAATCATTACTTTTACGAATTACGAATCTTTTTATTATAAATTAAATTCTGCCTTTTTGAGATGCGTAATTGAAACTAACTTGTGCTAGCGAAGAATTAATCGAATAACTGACTGTTGCGATTAGCTCATTTTCTTATCCTTTATCCGCTATTCAGATTTCTCTCCGAATAAATAAGCGGAATTTTGTTTCATAAAGTAACAATTACGCCTTTCAGTTTTTTTCGAAATTTAATTTGATTTTTTTGCAAAAAGTCATATTGAACATTTTAATGGTCTCTTCTTCGTTCTGTCATAGCTGTTTTGTAACAAATGCGTAAAAGCCATTACGCTGATTTTCGCTACGCAACGAATTTCACTACTTTAAGTAAGCGCATTGTTATACTCAGTATTGACCGATTTGTTTAAAGAATCGGTCTGTGCGTTAAAACTGAAGTTTCATTTTGTAAAGACTGTACATAATTTTAATAATCATTACGATCTTCTTTTGAGACTCACACTTTTCTTCATGTTAGATTGTTTAGATTAGTTCACATTTTGCGGCATTATTATGATTTATTATCATTATTATTATCGCTATTATTATTACTGTTATTATTATTATTACTGCTACTACTGCTACTTCTACTATTACTATTACTACTACTTACCATTTCTATACTGTTACTACTACTGTTTTCGATGAATCCCTCCTTGTTTCACTCATGTTTTAGTTATTTCAGAACTGTGGAAGCCAGATAATTTGCATACTTCATCAGTGTCAAGTAATAGAGATATACTTTTTCATAAGTCATCATTGCACGAATATTTAGGCATTGAAAATCATGAAAATGAATAAAACCAAAAAAAAAAAAAATGTTCGAAAAGATACCTCAACCTTTTCTGTTAATATTTTGTAAATCAACAGAAGTATTGAGCATCTAGTAGATAATACAGAAATATTAAATAATTTAAAAATTATTGTGGGAAAATGGTTCTTGAACTCATCAGTACGTAGCCAATACCGCATTAAACAATAATTAGTTGTAAGAAGTATTTAGACAAATAAAAATATAACATTGTTGAGAAACATTTTTGAAAATTATTTGTTACTATTCATTGTAATTACTAAGCTCATTCGGATTATGACTTAATGCTGAATTTTATTTTTATCACTACCAAATGGAAAGAGATATTTTTTATGGAAAAACTTTAAAATTCCTATTAGAAACCATCTAGATTTTGTTGAAACACCACAAAAAACAATTCTTGAGGAAGCAAAAATTTCCTAGTTGTTTATTAACACAAATCTCGATCAGCACCTATCGATATTATCCGGACAAGCACAAGTTACATCTATCTTCCCTGGTAGACACAAATGTTCGCATCCACCATTATTCACTGCACAAGCTGTGGCAACTGCAAAGGAGATTCTAGATGAAAAATTAGATCTAAACAGAGAAATTCTCACAAAAAAAAATATTGAGGAAGAGCGCACGGTACCATTCTTCACTGTATATTTTCAGCAACATAAATCATTCGTTAACTTATTCAATTAACTTTGAGACTTTGAAAATTTAGCTTTTAAAAAAACAAAAATAAAAAAACCTCCTTTGCATCGCAACGGCACAGAAACAAGACCATACAGTCGTCCAGAACCACCGGTTGTTGCTGGAAACGATATATATCCATCGCCATTTACCGATACCGAATGAATTTTGTTGCTATAACGAAGTACGCCTAGTTAAACATGAAAAGTTAGATTGGTTTTTTTTTTTAATTTGAAGAACAATTGTCTCAAAATGTACTTTCTGATTGTTTAACAAAACAAAACAAAAGAAAAATGAGTGAAAATGAAGAGAACTAAGACTCACTCGCTCCAATCGGTCCAGTAGAAACGCTGTTCGTTATGGACAGTTAATCCGAATGGATACTGGAGTGGCGCATAAACGACCCGACGATTTTGTCCATTTAAGCCAATACAAGATAACTGTTGTAAGCCGGCATCTACCCAGCACAGTTCACGTCGTTCCAGAAGTACGGTAAGACCTAAATTACTTTTCTTTATAGGCCACTAATGCAATACCAATAACTTCCAGTCCTTTGTGTAGTAATTCCGGAAGTTCGATAAGAACTAATTGCTTAATTTGCACATCAAGGAGTGGTACAAATTAAATACCGTTAGGTAGATTCACTTCTGTAGATATGAAAGCAGAATTCTCGGTACCATCCAGACGTACGCGTCCAATCACCGGGTTTTCACGATGCCAATCAGAATAGTACAAATACCTAGGGATGTGTAATTTGATTTCTTCAGATGGTAAAGTATTAACTCTGGAAAATCTAACGTTAGGCAACACTATCACCTGTCAGTGAGGTCGATGGCTAACGCACGTGGATTCACTAATCCTTCATTGATAAGCGTTTTGTAGTATTTCCCATCAAGACTGGCCACACCAATTTCATCTTTAACCGAATCTGCGTAATAAACATTACGTGAAGACCAATCAATAGCGATACCTTCCGGACTTTTCAACACTGTATCCATAAATTTTTGTTCATTCGTTCCATTTATCGATGCCGATAAGATCGAATGACCTTTAAAAATAATGGAGAAAGAAGGAAATACTGGGATCAGCTTCTTACGTCCTTCATATAGAAACAATAACAAACTGTTATGGTATAGCAAACTGATTTTCACGTTAACAAAACACTCCCAACCTGCGCTATGTCAATTAAATGCCATAAATAATATAATTTAATATATTTATATAAAAAATTAAAATAAAAATAACAACACAACAATTCAAATTCCATCCTTACCAGCAATGTCGCTCCAGACGATCCGTTCTTCCTGACAATCAAAATCAATACCAACTGCTATCTGATGTGGTACTACTATAAGCTAAAAGAATAAAACAGTGAATACAATTAATTAGACTACATGATTACTAACATGGGTATCTCTTTTTCGAGAAAAATACCTGTTTCCCCGGTAAATCAGGGTTGACACTTCTCTCGATTATTGTCATGCCGCGACAAATAAATATGGCTTCTTCACGACTTTCACTGTCTGCTATAATGGTAGTTTTAACAGATCATATTTGTTCAAAATACTGTTCAGCAAATCAGATCACATCAAAACAAAACAATGAAAGATACAAAATATTGATTTGTTGTTTTAATGAGGGGTACAAAAAAGTGATTTTTACTGCACAATGTGTCATCATCCCGTTGTATTTCGAAGGACCATCAATATTTCACATCTTTCACTCTGAATAAAAGCCAAACTCCTATCACTGGACATTACATACGTGTGCAAGTTCGGCCATTCCCATGATATCCGTAGTGACAGTTGCAGATGTAATGACCATATTCGTTTGGTACGCATTCTGCATGCTCGTCACATAATGACCGATCGTCCAAGCAATTAGCTGTAATGATGTGCCAGCATTAGAGACTTGTCCATATTACCTGAATTATATGCGTCATTCTATCACAAGTAACTATCCATCAATATTGGTTTTAAACTATTTAAGTTTTAATGCTTATTGATAAAATAAGCATTCAAAGAGCATCTTCACATAATTACCACACATAACATCACTATAAATGACCAGTAATGCATTATTCGTAATAAGTATATAATTCGCGACATTCACGTAATGTCGCATTTGTTTTAATGTCGACCTTCTCTTGTGCTTGAAGACAACCATGTTTTATCTTCATTCTAATAATTCTGTTAGTAGTAATCAATCAAACAATTAGAACAAGGAATACTTGTTATCTCATTTACAACTTACCACTTCCATTTGTCTATTTCTGCTAATAAATGCAACATCATAGTGCAAAATTAATGAAAGTACAAGGATTAATGACAAACTGTATAATGTGCACAAATGTCCATTGCCTATATATCCTTGCATGCAACGACATCTCCATGAATCATCTGCTTCATCGTGCATACATCGTGCATGTGATGAGCATTCACCACAACGGTGCATTTTGACTAAAACAACAACGACCACGTGCAGGACAGACTAATTTCAAAGGTTAAATCTTTCCCAAATCACTGAACGCTCTTGATGAAACATCCAGTAGACTGTAAATATCGTTATGACCTAGAGTTAAGATTTCAGTTATCTCATAAATGGTGTGAATAATATAATGGAGATGAGAAATTAGAGAAAGATGAAGAAAATATAGTCAAACTAAAATTAGGATTTTAAGGTCGAGCTATGGCTTTCAAAAGTTAATCAAAATGTTCACTAATCTTCAATAGATCTGAAAGCAAAGATAGGTAATTACTTTCTATTTATATGGTACTTGAGATTATCATTTCTGATATTGAACTCTAGTGCTATGTTATGTACCCCTTGCACTTCATTCTTCACATCAAAACGCAACCTTCTTCACGGCAATTTTCATATCCGTCGCCAGTGGTGCCATCTTTGCAAATACACTTGTGTCGTCCTTCATCTCTGCTATATACACATTGCGCATTTTTATGGCAAATTCCCGGTTGTTCATTGCATTCTGCTGAATGTCGTGCTACACACTGTCGTCCATCATCAACAAAACCTTCAAAATTTAATGATAGTTCTAAAACTAAAAGTGCAATTCGCATAAATTTAAAAGAAGAGGAGAAACTAACCTTGCGCACATTTGCAGGTGTACGTTCTCTCAACTTCTCCAAACACACAAACAGCATTCTTGTGACATGCATGTTCATCACCAGGTGTGCAATCATCTATAATTAATTGGAATTCCTCTGAAGAAAAGCCATAATTTAGCTTAAGCAGCTTAGAAGAAAAATACCGAAGTCAAAGAATTAGTCCATAAATTAATTAATCTTAATAGTTTGAAATATTTTTTATTTAATAATAATTTGCTATTTATAAGAATAAAAGATGGAATAATTGGTAATTAAGGAATCCTTGTCAATACGCAATTTTCGATAAATGCGAACTTATCAAATCCCTTGATAGCTGTAAGTCTTAATGGACTCTTTTTGAAGATCAACATATGTACCCAAGGAAACTGCACATGGTAATGAATTAAGGATTATCAAATCCCTTGATAGATAAACAGTCGCAAAAAAAAAATCCAGCATTGTCCCTCATTTTTAAATCAATCAAACCTGCAGCAGTACATCGAGTGACACCATCACCTCGATAGCCAGGTAAACATTCGCAAAAATAATCCAATGAGTTTTCACGAACCACACAGTGCGCATTTTGATGACAATCACTTGCTTCGCGGCAAGTTTTAGCATCCGCTGGTTCTATAAAAAAGTTCATTTTGCAGAAAAATTGGCTTTTTGAGGATTGGCTTTCCTGATACATTTAATACAAGAATGACAATTGATGGTTCAAATCAAGCAACACTAATTAACTGCTTATTATTATTATTAATTATACTTTTATCTTGCTCTCTGGGAAATACACCAAGCAAACCATGAATAGAAGTAATCTGCAAAAAGGAAAGTACGAGATACTGACAGAGAAAGAAAGAAGACGTTTGCTTATCTGTATCAGAAACTGTTCATTAAGGGATGACTTTCTGGATTCAGTTAGATGAAAATGTGGCATAATTAGAGGAGGAACAGAATGCCATATTCATTAAAACAGCGTAGTTTGTACGACAGCAAAAAAGTGAGGGAAAGAGTAGAAGAAGCTACCAGGAAGCAAAGATGGCAAAAGGGTATTTTGTCGCACAGTCTCACACATGTATCCGTCACCATCAAAACCATCCAAGCACCGACAATAATGACGACCGGTATATGCATCCAGTACACACACCGCATTCAGGTCACAATTACCCAACTGATCACATCCTAACACAGCATCTGCAAAATCCGCTAATAGTCGCACAACCAGCTCTTAAAAAAGAAATGTCAGCTGAAGCAATTTAGCTCAAATTGACTCATCTGTTAACAAATAACAGATAGGTCCTTTTCCACAAACATTTTTGAAACTTCTTTGAAATGACAATAGAACTTTTGGTATATGAACTTAGCTTGGATGAACAATTTAACTTTATGTATTATACGGATACCACATTTCTTCGAAACATATATGTATTGTTGAAAGTTCAAAAGATTTTGAACTTTCCTTATACCCAATTAACATTTCACTCCTCTCTTAAGGATCAATTTTGCATGAAGCGTTGGGAGAAGCATAGGAATTTAAGCAGCGTACATGCAGGAAGATTATCCAGTGAGGTCATAGTGCATCGATGACCATCTCCCGAGAATCCTGGACGACAGCGACAACGATATACACTTTCGTCACGATCATTCTTTTCAAAAATGCAATCAGCATTGGTATTACAATTATTAATCACATTGCAAGATACTCCTTCTAGAAATTCATTGCTAGAATCTGCAAAAATGAAGGAGAAGCAGATAGATAGAAAAGTTTAAAAAGCTAAATTGTTAGTATCTTTTGAATGATACCAACAATTTTGCATTAAAAAAATGGAAAATATTTCAGAAAAATATGGGTGAAACAATAGATTTTTTTCCTGTGAAAGTCTTTCCAACCAGTGAAATGACCCAAATCAAAACTATTAACTGATCCATATGCTATTGAAGGCGAAGGGTCAATGATGGGTACACGGACGAAGTTTAGGGTAGATCTTCAGTCTAACTAAACTTATATTTATAAAAGAACTATGAAGTTTTTCTGCAAAATATTTCATACTGTTTCCTCCTTTTGATTCTACACAATTCATTCCATCACTAAAATACGGTGGTACGCAAATACAACGGTAGACGGCAAGTTCATTGTTGTACACGCAGTTACCGTGTTTCCCGCATTCGTCATGTGAACGGCAAATCTTGCCTGTAATTAATTTCAAATTTAATTGAAATTTGCTACACTTCTGAACCCACATGCTGTCATATTCTTTTCACAGCCCTTTGCAAAAGATTTCCTTTTGCACAGTCAACTCAAACAGATCAAAGTCACTAGAAATTGTTTCCTTAAACTGAAATGATGTATAAAATTTAGTTTTTTGTCAAATGACATATGTGAATATCAAGAAAAAAGTGCAAACCGATGCCAACACTAATATCGCCAGAATCTCCTGTACCGTTCTGTTTTTTCTGGTCACTAAAATGAGGGACACAACTGATTCCATTACCGTGATAGCCTTTCTGACACTCACATTGCTCCTAGAAGAATGAAGATGAAATTTAAATTAGACGATGAAAAAGAAATATATTCTGATCGCTCAGGATCACTGGACGTTGATAAAAAATGAATCAGTCAATGCCGTGAGCTTTGATGAGTATACTTCTGTAGAATGCATGATACGTTCTCAGAGAAACATTCTCACAAATTATTCTTATAAAAACGCAACATTTTTCAATTTTAAACAAGCTGGTAATATGTAAATATTTTGCTTTCGCCCTCTCTTTGAATTCTTGGTTATTTTCGGAATTGGTGAAGATAAACAGTTATTTGAACTTACGCTTCCTGATGATGAGTCACAGTATGCATTTACGTCACACATATATTCTCCGCATGTTTGTCCCGCTTGTTCTCGATTAGAATCTTCAATCACTACCTGCTTGACTTCTGTCTCTAAAATGTATCTTTCTTATAGTATTTTCTTAAACCAATATGGCCATAATTATAGAGCATAAATGACATTATGAATAATTGTTCCAATAAGCCACCAATAAAACAAACCTGTCGGTGGTCCACAATGATGCACACCATCACCTGTATACCAGCCACGACATTTACAGTAGCCTAGTTCCCCATTCCGCCCGAAAATGCATTCTCCCCACTGATGGCAATCGCGATGATCGAGACAACCGCTTCCAGTCAATGGTCTTTTATTTTCAAGTTCACCATCAACTCCGACTTCTAAAAATTTCTTGGATCATTAGGAGCTAGGAAATAAATTTCAGAAGCTGCTGAAGTGAACTAACAAAATTGCAAAGTAAGAAATCGGACATTCAGTGAATTTTAATTTGTTAAAAAATAATCGTTAAAAAATAATCAAACATACATAAGAAAACATTTTATGCAGCAAAAAAATCGCATATGTAAGACAAACCTTCATTTATTAGATTTAACCAAACAAAAACGAACTTAAAATGTTTGTGCTATATCTTCCGAGTAGTAAAGAAATTAAATTTTAGGTACCGCAAAAATTTTTAATAGGACATTAATAAAGAAATTTATTTTAACTTGTTTTCAGTGAATGGAATCTTGTGCTGAAAGGTGTTGGTACACGTGACAATATCATATTATGCTGTGTTATAAAAAACCAATGAAACAATTATAGTCTTCTCGTAAAAGCACATTAGAGACTATATGAATACAAAGTTTACCTGTCTATAAATTATTGTATCGGAAAAGCTACTGGTATAATTGAACCGGGATCATATTTCTAATACAATAGCAATTATTTAATTATATGTAAAAGAGAAAAAAGCTAAATTATTACTTCGGCAATGATGTCCATCTCCTTCGTATCCATCATTACAGCGACACTCAAATGTACCTTCCAAATTGATACAGATGGCATTACGATTACATTTATGCTCTCCTCGTTCACATTCGTTCATATCTACAGTAGAATACAGATCATCACTGAACTATTACAGCAATCTATTCTATTCGTTTATAGCATAGATTATTTCAAATTGAAAATAACTGAAAGTCAAAAGTGTCAACAGTTCTGTTTACAATCTCAAGAAATTAAATAACTTCATTTCAGATTGAAACTGACCAATACATTTCCAGCCAAGCTCTGTGTCGTTGTCGTACTCAGCTTGATATCCTTTTACACATTCACAACGGTACGAACGTTCCACCGGGGCACAAATCATATTTGGCGATTTACATAAGTGTCGACCATTTTCACACGCATTCTTGAATTATATTCAATATTTAATTATTAAAGTCGTCACGTGAGACCTAGAAACAATGAAAATTCAAAATATAAGTTATGGTTACTTGTAGACAATTAGTGCATGGTGGTCTCTGATTCTCTACATTTTCCTTCTGCAGATGATATTCTTGATTACGGTACTGTTGTTGTTGCTGCTGTTGTAATGATTGTTGATTAGTATGAAGTAATTGGTGATGATCTGTACCGGATGGAGCTATCATGATATTAGAGTCTCGTTTTGTTGCCATATTTGCTGATGCATAACGTACGATGTGCTCTTCAACATCGTAAACAACATGAATCCGACTAACGTGAATTACGACCACTGGATCTTTCGTAAACTGCAAATGAAAAGAAACGATCCGAATTACATAAACAGAATCTGATAGATCACGTTGATATTGTGAAATGAAATGCTACTAAAATTTGCAAAATACGGTAAATATGTGAATAACAATAATGAGCTTTCGTTATAATCAGATTAGAAAAATTAATATTACCATAAGCAATCAGATTAGTTTTATTGTAAGCAAAAAACAAATAAACGTCCTAAAAAAATAAATAAACTAATTTCTTCTTATCACTTCTCTTGAATGGTTGAATCATTATGAACAAAATATCCAAAAGCAACTTGAAAACATAAACAATAGATGCATCACGATGATGATCACAGCTATAGACAAAGGTATGCTAAGGACCGATCGTAGCTCCACATTTACAGTTTGTTTACTTCTCTATGCTTAGCTTTAGTCTACATAAAGCCACTTGAGCAATTACCTCTCTAAATGGACATTCTTTATAGTGTATCTGTTGGTCAGTCGATAGCTTCATTTGTGTTTCCACACCATTTTCTTTGATCGTTACCATCTGGGATGAGTATGATCGCAAAAATCCTGCAAATTTACTTTAACGGTTTTTTAAAATTTCAAAATTTATCAGTTTTTTTTTTCAATAAGAAATTATGTTTAATAAGTTAATTGTAAAAATAATTTCATTACCAGGTCCTTCACGCCTGTATTCTTCGTCATGATCTGAATAAATTACCTCTGCACCTTCCATCAAAGTAGGCAACGTCCCTGATATAAACATCTAAATTTCAAATAATACATGTTTTATCGACAAATATAACTGTAAATAATATCGCATATTAGGGTAAGATTCCTTCAAAACACTACTAACTTTAGTATCAATGACACTTACATGTGCTTTGAAGTAATGATAAATGTCACGGCCAGAAAACTGTTGCTTGATTGTTACCATATATCGATCTCCAATATGAACGTTTACAGTACGATTAAAAAGTCCACCTGTAAAAATGTGACAGTGATGAAAAAGTGTTTTTTAAATGCTAAGGAAATTCCTCTTTTTTTGAAATTCAATCACTTTATTGAAATTTAATCACAAAATTTAGTGCATTTTGAAGACTGAAATAAAAGAAAAGAATGAAATGTTTATAAAAGAAAATGAACCTGTAAGCATAAATCCGTTATAAGACGTCGATGACACCACCTTAAATTTTATGGGATATATTTTATACTTTTATTATTACTTTACATAACTATGCCATAAAATTTGGTCAAGTCAACTGCATATTAGACGGATTAAATTAGCTAAATATTTGCGTTCCATTCAATATTTACCACTTGCGCTATGTATTTTCTTTGTTGCATTTATAAATTCTCTATTAAGTGATGGCATTATTAATAGACCCTATTATCAAGTTACTGGAAAGTTAACTTTTGCTGGAAACTTTGATTCTAGTGGCCTTAAAGTATACGGTTATCTTGTAAAGCACTCTGCAAAATGTTGAAGTTCTGCTACACTTCTTTCAGTTTTGCATCTTACTTCACCTTCTTTTAATTTCTTATTTCTTTTAAATCTTAAAAGATTTTGAATTTTCAACTTTGATAAAAAAAACCTTAGCAAACAACCATCCCATAGCACTACCAATCGCATTCAATAATAGTAATGATCTTCCAATCTCTGGCGGTATTTGTGAAAGTGCTGTATAACTTCGACCTTCTTCCACCATCACATAAGTGTGTAACTCAGTTCGATCCATTTCTTTACCATTTATCACACCCTCAAAGCCACCATTGATTCTTTGTGGTTCCCCTAAAAAGACTAGCCCATTGTTAAGCCTCATTAATAAGCAACCCTTAAGATAAACTGTTGATGATCCTTAAAAAGTTCTTTTAACCGATCTATTCATTGTTTAGAATTGGCTTCACTTTATTCCTGAAAATGATTCATAGATTGGAGACAGAAAATATGATAAAAGTTTACCGTCTTTCAAACATTCTTCGCCATTACCGTAATAGCCCGGCAGACATTCACAACAGTAACCTGGATTGTAGTCATTGCATTTGGCGTGCAAATTACACGGTTGCACCTAAATTCTTTGTTATTGTTTACTACTTTAGCTATTGCTAGAATTAATCGATAAGATATGCAATGAGATGTAATTGTTTATCTTTATCATTTCATTATCCTATTCGGTCACCGACCATATTATCACTGATATAGTCAGCAACGATATCTTTAACAATACCTTACTGCCAATTATCAGACTCAGATTTTATCGAACCGCGTTTGAAAAATTTTAAAACATTTTAAACAAATAATATCATAAGACAAACTTTTTTACTGGCAATAGCACAGCTTAATGCAATGCCTTCAATATCGTCAATTGATTCCGAATTTTTCGAGTCTGTTGGAATAATTAATTTTGATTCTGAAAATGACTCTATGCAAAAATTTTGCCACAACAAGTCTTATAAATATGCTTGACATCGGATCTTATATATTTTGTCACACAAATTGAACACAGAAGTCCTAAAATTTGCTAATTGAGATTACCTCCTTCGCCTTCGTCATCTGGCTTTGGCTCTTTGTCCCTGACATCTTGTTCTTGTAATGCCTCTCTTGCTAAATAAATAACTTTTTTGAATTCAATTTCAAACTTGAAATAAAAATCGGTAAAAATCGGCGATTCCAATCAATTGCCATCTACGCTTTACTTTGATGACCAGAATGTTGAATTTGAAAATTAACAACTTACTTGTAGATTCACCTGGTTCTACATTAATTTCTTCACGTTGGCTCGGTACTACCACTTTGCCCATTTCATCGTCTTTCTTCTCTATTTTATTAAGGTCCGGTGGTTCTGAAACCTAACTCTTATTCTTTGGTTGACGGAATACAATCACTTCTTGGCTTATCAATAGCTTACAAAAAATTGAAAAGTGAATTGCACTGGATTTATTTTATAATAATTGTTCTTAGATTTATAAACATATATTTAGAAAAAATATACAATGTATATAATATACATTTGTCTTCCTAACAAGTATTTTTTAATACTGAATTCTTATATTGAATCCTAAATTTAATAAAGCGATATTTCGACTTCCAACTGCTAACTCTCAAACTTTGTTCCATAAACTTTAAAATCCTTACAGATTGCAGAAAGCATGTAGGAGTTGTAGAAAAGTAGAGAAGGATAAGTTGAAAGGTCAAGAAGTGATGCGATGAAAAGATAATGCTAGATTGCTAAACAGTTAAACATTAACGAAAGGAGATTAAAAAGGAATTTCTGAAATTATCCAAAGATGGGATTTACGATTAAGCTTATGACAAAGGAAAGAAAGCACGGAGGATATGTATAGAATATACTCTTCCAAAAACTGCATTGCCATTAGTGGCGTTGATGACCGCGGTTCTCCGGCATATATTGGAATCAACGAGAGCATAAAAAATGTTTCTTCATTTCCGTTTTTTTTTTTCTCATCTCACAACTCAATAAAATTAGATGTAATGGTATCAAGAAATTATTCAACCTACAATATCCCTTTATTTTCCAGCTTATCATGTAATCCCTCTGATCACTTAATTCGTTTTTTGGGTACTGTCCTGAGATAAAAACGAGGAAAAAACAGACGTGCACAAACACAAAGCGAACATCCACGATCATCGGTCAGTACGTGACATTCCACTGGACATTGGTCACGATACGGATCTGTTGGACAATGTTCTGATAATAGCTCTAGAAATCAAATTTAAAAAAAAAATACACTAAAAATGAGCTCCATTCATTAACAATCATGAATTTTAGATATTAAATCCTGCATTACTCATTATTTAATGTTTGTGTTTAACAGCACCTCTCATAATACTTCACAATCAATATCAAAATATTATCATCGTTTTTTTTTTTTTTTTTTTTGTAATTTTCAGCTTAATAAAAAGACTGGATGCAACTTGCTTATTTCCTCTCTTCAAGTATAACATTTCGACATATATATTCAAGTATAACAACTTATGTTGTTATAAATCGGTAGAGTGTCGACAAAAATTGAATTCTACTAACTGTGTTGTCGTTTATGTTCATTATCAGAGTCATAGTCTTGCTCATAATCGTTATAATTGTAATCATCCTCAACTAGTGTTCCTCGTGGATCTTCAGGTGTAGCACCTGATATTCGGAAAATGTAAGTGCCTTCCTTTTGGTTATTTGATAGGCTGAAATTATTAGTTAAAATCAGAAATTTCTATTTATTACAACTTGAAAAACAAACAAAAAGTTAAGGACGTTAAAAGTATTTGTGATTATAGTTTATCATTTATTATATTAATTTAGGGATTAAATTAATGATTTCAGAAGTTCAAGTAAATTCATTGAGTTAAAAAAAAAATTGATAAAGAATTTTATGTCAAATACAACATAAATAGTTTGGAAGCAATTTCAATTACTTCTATTTCAATAGTTTGAAGATGTAAAATAAATTAAAGCATACTTTACAAGTTCCCTAATATTAGGCGTCCCACTGTTAACCATCGTTTCACGTCGACCATCGGAGCAGTACAGACCAGCTTGCGCATAATGGCCATTCTTCCCAGTCCAAGTTATTTGATCGTAAATGAGAAATACGTATGAACTCATTCCATCTGTTACTAAAACCATCTGAAATACATGAAAAACAGATTTGATAATGGGATTACATTGCTGAGCGATTATCATTATTATCACAAATGCTATCAGTTCAGTTGGTTAAATCTCGTTTTTTATTTACTTAAATGCTTAGTGCTTCAATTTATTCATATCAATTTCAAAAGAATGACAGCATTGCTTTGTCTCGCAAACTTCCAATTTCAAAACTAGGAAGAATGTTTTTTTTTTAAGCATTTATAATGAAGTAATTACCTGAAATTCATTTAAGCCTTGTTCAGCATCTTCACCTTCTATATTACTCCATGTTATTACAACAGCATGCAAAGCTGTGAAATCGGATAATTCCCGATTGGGAAAGTTTTTTCGAATTTTATCCGTTAAATCATTCAGCAAATTTGTATCACTTGAAGTTGCTCTAACATGAAAGAAAGTTGCTCAGATAAATAAAAGTCAAAAAAGTCAGGTTTGTTTTGGGAGAAGAAAAGGAATCGAACGATTTGATTTTTCCAACCCAGTTAATACAAATTTTCAAATTCTAAATCAACGAATCATTTCTTTCATAAATTTTGATGTTACTAAAAATGTTTACCGATAAAAAATTTTTCCCGCACTGTTTTGTGCAAAAAATATTGCAATTGCATTGATTCTTTCTTGATCCAAATCAGTCATTTCCGTGACATCGGCAGCTTTACCAAATGTTACAATACCTTTCGAAGAGATAAATAATTCATTCTGACTCTCTTCAAAATATATTATTGGTACGTCCAATGTTACAGCATATGAGTCATTTGAAAATGATAGCACCTAAAATGTTAACAAGTACAAAGTTCAGAGATAGTAAAAGATAGTAACATCACTGAGATATCACAGAAGTAAATATAAGGACGGTGACATTCATTGACAATTTTTATTGCCGACGCAAATAATCAGCTAATTAACGTGACAGCAAATTATCTTTTTAAAAAGAACAGAGAAGACTGTCAGCAATGATCGCCTGAGAATACAGTAATCAATACGAATTCGTTGGATATTTTCGGCGCAGTTATTTGTAGTATCATAATGACTGTGCACTATCTTGATGGTACTAATACTTATTGTATCACAGACTCATTACAACATTTGACAATATTAAATCTTCCTTACCTGATCGCCCTGTTCGACACCGAATTCAAAGAGCTCTGCTCCGTGAGAACGTGTCGTTAATAAGATAGTACAGTATAGAAAGAGTAAAAACAGCATCGCTTTTCGAAATGATCACAAGAATTTCATTTAACACATAGTATAAATTAAAATTCCTGCAAAATGCAATTCATTTTTAAAATTTCATCCATTTTGAAATAGTTTCCGAATCGCTCTTTTCTAAATTTTTCAGCGTTATTTCTCTCAATGTTGAAAAATCTTTTTATCACATCCTAGACTGATTAAGCGTAATGATTTAAAATAGGATTATTACGAAAAATATCAAAATTGTCAAAAAAGTTGGAAAGGAAAAGAATAGATCAAAATTATTAATAAGAAAATGCAAAAATGTGGATGACATGAAAATATTGAAATTGAATTTGCCAGGACCTTCTAAAGTTGATGAAAGAAGGATGGAAAGGAAATTTTTGGAATGATGTGGTCAAGCGTAAACGAACTAGGCAAGTAAACAGAGAAAGAAGGATTGGGCACAGATATGCTCTTATTATAAGAGCATATCTGTGCCCAATAATGGAACTATTTTTGTTAAATCCATTTTACTGCACATTTGACATTAGCATATGTAATTGAATTTCTTTCCAGTTTATTTTCTTTTTTTACTTTTCACTTATTCGGCTTTATTCTTCTTTTTACTTTTTGCTTATTTGGTTTACATTTATTCTTTTCCACTTTATAATTAAATGTTAAATAAAGAAAGTTATCTTTTAACACGAATGAGAAAGCATTTGAGGATATCAAAATGATAAAGTTTTGTGGAAGGTTATGGAAAGAAAGTATGGAATTCGAGTCGGGACTTTATTGCTAATTAGTTTACAGAAAAATAAAATAACTAAAAATTTAAAAAATAGGGAGTGACCACATGCTATCCGAGATATCATGAATTTCTTCCTACTGTTTTGCAAAAGAGAAATGCTTTTTATGATTATCTAATGCTAATTCTGTTACTCTTGCCTAAATTAAAATATTTTTGTAAACTTATAGAGCTCTTCTGTTAAGAAGAGGTGAGTAGGAATATATTTCAATAATTTCATTAAATTAAGTATATATTCAATAACTTTCACTTTTCAGTTAAGCAGTTCCATCATCGTTAAATGTGAATATATCTTTTTTTTTTTTAACGCCATTTTTGCAACATTAGAGAAGGAACAATAGTGAAAAAGAGATATAAATTTTAGACAGTTTAAGTAGGAATTCCATTAATTAGATTGGAAGACCATAGGGTTATTCAATAATTTAATGCTCAAACACAGTATACCTACGAGGATTGCAGAGAAAACTAGTGAGCAAACAGTTGCTGGAGTTGCTTACTGCTGCCTTCTAACAATTAAAGAGTAAACAAAAAAGTCGCCCACGAAATATGAAGTTTCAAAAGGGTTGCAAAAAGTCAACATAGGAATGTTCAAAGGTCATACTGCTCAATTTAATATAATTTTTTCGATTTTATCGACCGTAAACTGGTGAGATTTTTTTCAGAAAATTGTAAGCAATCATAAAATTTCTCCCCGCCCAACTAAAATTTTCAGAATGCAATTTGAAATTTAAATACATATAATACATTGATAAAATGCCAACGAATGATGGTTCAACAATTCTACTTCAATCAATGAGTCAAGGTCAACTGGTCAGATATGAAGTGTCCCCCAATCAGATTAACAATTATTTCAAAATGCTAAACTAAGTGTGCGAAGAATGAAATAATTCAATAAGGAGAGGAATGTGAATGATTTTTGATCATTAAACAAATATGATTGATAAACTGGAATTGTTATAAAGAAAAGGAAGATAAAAGATGAAATAAAAATGGACAAATGCTGAACATTATTTGTTTTCTTAAAATATAATCTGAAAAATTCGTAAATCCAAACATTTTTTGTTCAGAGGCGTAAATTTTAATTCTAATATTTCGCTAATTTGCATTACCATAACAATAAATTAATTTAATTTTAACTCACAACTAATAAAAGGACTGAAGGAATGATAATAAGGAACACAACGATATGTTCATATCAAAGTGCTTTGTACAGTTCAGCTGATAAATATATCAAAAAAATCAATGTTTGCTGATAATAACGGCACGACACAATATTATTTTCAAAATAGCTTATACATTTGATGTCTTTCTTTGATGAAAATTTTTTTTTTCAGCATTTTCTTGATGCGTTTGAAAGCAAAAAAAAAAAAAAAATTCTTAAAAAATAGAACAAACAAAACAAAAGAATTGAATGAACAGCTAGTGAATAATGGATAGAATTCTTTATTAAAAAGTGAAATTATAAATAGGGTTAATGCGGTGATAGTTTGCGAAATGAAGTTCAAAATATAATTTGAAGCTTGCAAAGAAAGTATATTGCGACTGCAGAAATGAAGGGACGGATAACTAAACAAACAAGCGGAGACTTTCGGATATCAGCTTGAGTTGCAGTTGAACTGCACAAGCTTAAAATCAGTTTCCGAAATGAATTTAACTGCAGAGCAAAATTTATAATAGGGTTGTTTCAGAAAATTACAAACACCAAAGGCCTTATCCTAACAGACAAATGACAAGCAAGTCGTTTGTAGGATTCTTGGTATTGTCGAATTCAGCCGAAGGACGAACATTCAGTAATATCTGTTCGTACATTAATATCCAATTTATCGGCACAACTTTTGTCTTCCAATTATTATTTATCTAATAAATATTTATTTATCCAGCTTATTATGAAAAAAAAATGGAGTTAGGAAGATGGTCAATGATTTATCTTCACTTATTATCGACAGTCAAAGATTCAATTCATAATTAACTGAAATCTAAGCTTCTTTAACTTTTTTATGCATTCATCCAAAATAAGTTTTTTTGATGGACGAAAAAAAAAAGAAAGGGCGGAAATATCACTTCTGCGCAGATACACATATATTCTCCTAGTGGTCATTCTCCTCTTACGCTTATCTTAATATTCTTTCGCGTCATTTGGACAATCTCATCACTATTAGAACATCACAGTTAAAAAAATGTCGTTGACAGGAAGAAGGAGTATTGCACTTCTTGTCATCACTATTATACATGGGAGTAGCTTAGAATCCATCACGTATAATACATAACTGATATGTTTTGCACAGTGACCTTCGGCTTGTCGTAATGAATCATCTTTTCCGCATCTCATATAATCGGTACTTCGTAAATAGAAGGATTGACGACAACTTATCAATCAAAAAGAAATGAAGAAATTAATCGACTTATACAATTTGCATATTTCAAATTTAGTTCTCAATAATTACTGATCATAAAATTACATTTGAAGATATTTACAATCGCAACAATAAAAGAAAATTTTTATTTCTTTTTTAAAATCAAAATTTTCCATATTTCATAGCTATAAAATTATTGTTAGCTTAATGAATGAAGCCATTAGATAGATAAAAATTGTGAGTGCAATGATCAGCAATACTAAAGCATCAATGTTACCGTTTGCGCCATTCCATCACATCGCTTTCTCTTTTTCCATGCTACATTATTCATTTATCGAAGTTACGATCTTTCTAACCAACGTCAACGTTACTACAAATCTGAATATATCTAGAGATGACCTTAAGATATATGTATCAGACGAATAACTGGCTTATAATTCTTTAATGAATAATTCACTATAACTATTTCTAAAGAATCAAATTTGTCTTTGGACGAGCTTTCGTGTCGCAATTCCTTGACGTCTTATTTTGCACTGATATGAAGGGAAAAATGTTGTGCAAACAAATATCGTTGGCGCCTGAGTAAAAGAAATATGAGTGAAAGAGAAAAAGATGATTAAATGTATGAAAAGAGTAGAGGAGTCTATCTGGACAGAAGTAGTTGTACCTTTGGATTGTAAAAAGAATTTAAAAAAGTAAAGCTATCAGTAGTCTTTTAAATTTCACACTGTGGTTGTCTAGAAAATAATTCGAGAAATAGGAAAATGCAGAAAGTAGTAGATAATTTAAAAATAGAATCTGTGGACAAATGGAACGTAGCTGCTTAGAAGTGATGGTGGGATTCTGTGAAAGGAATCTAGCATTTGTTACTATCAATAATGATAACACATATAGTGAGCGATAATAAGTGATTATAATAAGGGTGATGAGTCATCTTGACAACGAACTCATTATAGGCTTTAAGTTACAATTACAACAGTAAATTTCGGGATTTCCTGCGATCCAATTTCATTTCGTACCAGCGCAGTTGACGAGGTGAGTAAAGTGAAAGAGGTATGATGGATATGTCTGAAACTGTTGTTATCCACTGGACTTTACACTACTGCCACAATGTCTGCTATTTGGCCACGGTTCAGAGGTCAACTGCCTCTTTGTATTGATGGATAACCTCTTCATGCATTCACTCTTACCCTTCCTCAATTGTTTCATTTACATTGTCTGTGGTTCTATTACTATTACTACTACTACTGCTATTGCTATAACTCCTATTACTAGCGGAAAACATCAGAACACTGATAGGAAATTATAATCCTCTAGGTGACAACAAATTTCTCCCATACCATTCTCTTCCATTGAGTTGTCATGCTGAACGAAACACTTAATATCGGTAATATTCTTGTCTATACCTATCCATTTACTGATAACGTGTACAATTACATGTGGCGAGATGTGGAAATATACTGATCAATTTTCAATTTTTTATTGAAGACTTTAGTTTAGATAGTACATCGACCGGATCAACCCTAGAACGACTGAATAATGTCAAGCTTCGATGCAACTGGAAGCTTTTGTAGTACCTCTTACGAGAGTAATATGACCTTAATTAATAATTCTATCAAAAATACTGTAAAATGAAAATAAAATGAGTAGTTCATAGACACAAAATGTGGAATCAGATAAAACTAGTTTCTTCAAAAATAGTATATCCAATAGCAGTTCAAGCAACATAGAAATTTCCATTGCCATCATTTGAAAGAAGTTTAAAAATTTTTTCTTTAAGTTTAAAGTATTGAAACTTAGAATTTTATATCAAGATAAAATTTTTTAAAACCGATTCGAGCATGTAGTATGTAATATTTAGAACACAGTTCTCGACACTATTTCTTGGTATTATTTAATTCCAGTAATGTGAAAAAATGTGCATATAAACTATTTCAAGTAAATTGTTACATTTGTGCTACAAAATAAAAACAATGAGAACACCTGATTTTTGAAAATTACTCAATTAACGGATATTAGCAAACTGAGCGATTGTCTGAGAAGTAAACTTTAGTGGGACATTGCTTATATTTGTTCCAGCATTAATCATTGTCTTTATACCAGTGTCCAATCGTGCTCGAGTTGGTCCAATTATTCGCATTTGCCTATAAACACAAATAATTCAATTACATTATTTCATCATTTCCGATTTGTCAATTAAATTTTTCGAAAATTTAATTAGCAATATATGAAAACAAGAAACTGCAGTCTGTCTTAAAACAGATTATCACAACATCAATAAAATATTCTAACAGAATTCTACAATCAATATGCGGAAAAAATGTTAAATTTCAAAAAAATCTAACTACATTTACTGGTCTTCTTTTCCTCTTAACTTTACAAATTTTAAGAACGATGAGAAGAATACTAAATGGCAGAGAAGAATTTGTATATTTCAGGGAAACAATGTTGACTTCATAATGTGCAAAAAACTTTAAGGACATTAAATAAATTATGCATCAAAAAAAAAAAACGCCGTACTTCATCCACTTATTTTCATTAAAAAAAACTCTGGCAATTAATTTAAACAGCAATTTTAAAAATGATATCATACCTTATATGAGTATCACGGCCATTCTGATGGTTTTGTACAACTTGCAACTGTAAGACAAAAGCACGAGATGGGCCCCCATCAGCATCGCGTAAATCGATAACCTTAAAAAAATGATTTTCGACCGAGTTATCTTGCTTATTTTTTCAAACAAAACGGACCTTAGGCTTGCATGATCCTAAAGTTTTTGAAAAGATTATTCTTCAAATCTCAAAACTGAGTTATGAAAAAAAAAAAAAAAAAAAACCTGCCAACCCACTGGTTCGGAAAACACAACTGTTAAACCTTCATCTACATCCAGAACTGATGAACCAAGACGTACAACTACTCTGAAAAAAAAGAAATATATATATATATATATATATTATAATAATAAATACTTAAACCTAAAATCATCATAATTGTCAACAATATTCACAATGAGTTGAACAATACTTTTAACACTCATGTAGATCAAAACAAACTTCGAGGAATCAAATAATCACAGTCCAATCAAGTTATTAATCTTTATAATCACTACAATTAAATATTGGGTGAGACCAGAGAATAAAAGGCTTAAAAATATAATGTAACACCGAAGCATTAACTTTTAATCTATCAAACATTCATTTATTTTTCTCCTAAAAAAAATATATTTCTGATAATTTCAACAAGGACAGATATTTCAGGAATCAAGAAATTTACTTGCTAGGTGTATACGATTCATCGGTTTTGTAATCCAAATATAATAACAAATACGAAATATTTGTTTTTCTGCTAAACTCAATTGTCACCGTATGCGGCTGTGGGCCATCCGACTGCCAGTACTGTTCCAAATCTTCATCTAATAGCTGCTGGATACCAAAACCATCTGAAAAACGATAAAAGAATTAAACAAGAAAATAATTACCTCGGTCCATGTTGTCTGTTCAAAATAATTATTTTCTCTTCCCTAGTTTCCTGGAAACCAGGGAAAAAGTCAGCATCTTTTCCAGTTAGTAGCTGAATTCCTAAATCTAATTATTGTTCAGAAAAAAGTTTAAAAAAGACCCGTTTTACAACTGGATAACGTCCAGAACGCCTGATTAGATATGTCGCGCACATCTCCCACATTATTCTTTGGTAACGATGCTATCCACGGAGCAGTCCCATCATCTTTTTTCGGTGTTTGATTCTCTAATGTATCATTTTCATCCACTTCCATTTTCGTATCAGTTTAAATAATAAAAATCATTTGTGAACGCTGAAAAACTATCAGTAAATTTGAGACTTCTAGAATACTTCTTGTACCTCATCTCATCATTTACCGAATTCATGGAGAAAACCTGCTATTCATATATTCCTTATGCAACTGTGATTTAGGAAACTGAAAATAATGACTAAATCATTATAGAGTAAAAACAATTTATCTTACAAGAAGTGAGAATACATCTTATAGCACACTGAAACTTATTCACCTTAAAGATGTCATTTAAACTGCGAAACTTAATGATTCTTAAAAACTCGTCCTGAAAATACAGACAAAATATCGAAACTTCAAAACGAAAATTGTAAAAATTAGCGTTCATTTTAAAACAGCAAAAGTACAACGCGGAAAAACCGGAACTGACATATTCTTTAACAATCCAAAGAAATGTTTTACCAACATGTTCTGCACGGATCATAATTCAAACTGTGATGTCATTTAAGAAAACAGAGCGATCAAAATAAAATTTAAATTCATAATAATATGCACAGGACTAAAACACAGTGGAGAATAATGATTTATTCATCGATTGAGAAATACTGGGATTTGACAGCTTAAAAAGCAAGAGAGTCAATCTTTCATTTCTGAAGTAATTGGAGCAGGAAGTCAGTCAAGTTCAAAGCCAATATCTTCCTGAAAAATCCATGATGAAAATTATCCTTAATTCCTTGTTGTATATCGTGAGTATTTCTTCATCTAATGCCAAATACAGAATTCAGACAAGACAGTTCAGCAAGCTTAATTCATTACTTCCATAGGTGGACCTGTCTCGTGATATAAGTGTCAGTATGACAAGAATGAATAAATATGACCTTTAAACCCTTTTTTGTTAATAGCTAAGCTCCCAAATTAATAACTGTCTTACCATTAATTTTTTTTTCGAAATGTTGACATTTTCACATATTACATCAACAATTCGATCTGCAATTCGTTTTCGCTCCTTGTACTGCCCCGTATAATATTCTTGCTTTGCGGCAAGCTCCGATTTTCTTTTTTCATTTACAACTTCGTCCTTCGCATGAGTTACCATTCCACTGATACGTTTCTCCATTTCCTTTATCTGAAAATACAAATATAGAATCTAGTAGATTTGGATTATTTTTCTAAATAAGTAAGAATGTAGCCACTCTCATCATGTCGATCATAAGCTGTCAAAACTATCACTCCAGTTTTAAATTACATATACTTTCAGATTATGTCACCAGATGAATGATACCTGTGTTTTCAGAGTCGTTTGTAAAGCAATCATCTCTTCTATTCTCATTGCGCTTCCATACTCTTTCAACTCTAAAAAAATAGAATTGGCGGAGAAGCAAAGTTCGGATTGTAATGAAATGACTTATATTTCATCTAAAACAAAAAATCAAATCTTCATATCATCATTTATAATTTCTGGTTCTTAAAAATAAGTCAAGTTTTGTCAACAAATAAAAAAATAAAAAGTTATCCTGAGATGAAGAAAAAAAATTTTCTGCAATATTACCTATCTGAAATACTGCAATATTACCTATCTGAAATACACATGATAGGTCATATATTTCCTAGACAGCTCAGTGATACGAGAACACAGCTATCAAACACGACTTCTGATGTCGAAATTTTCCAAATACCATTTTTTATGACTTTTATTTCGTTGCTAAGTTCATTTAAGCGATTTTTCTTCTCGATGATAGATTCGTTCATAGCTTGGAGCTCTTCTTCATTGCATTTTTCAGTTTTGCTCTGGAAATAATTTCCAGTCAGATTAAAATTTTGGGCTTCCTTCCTATGAGGATTTCTGGATTTCCAGCAATTTCTATTGAAAATTGAAATAAATTTTGAATTACATTGTTATTTTCAGCCTGAATATTAGCATACCTGATCAGCGAAGTAGATCTTTTGTTTCGAAATAAGTTTCTCGCATAGGAATCCCCGTTCCACCCCAACATCCAAACATTTGATTACCTGCTGAAATTCTCTTTTTATTTGCACCATATAGCAGTTAAATAAATACGATCGAACATTTGAAAAACTGCAGCCTTCAAAATTAACTTTTAGTTAATTAACAAACCTCCCAACTTTCAAGAACAAAAATTCAGGAAGCGAGAAAAACTCACAGCTTTGGGATATTCTTGTCGGAGATTATTCCATACATCAATAGCACTATACGGTCGATTTTGTTGCAGCATATACCTACATACCATCTCGATCACTGCAAAAGTTGAATTTAATGGAAGCTAATTTTTTTTAGGAATTCAAAGGAAAGTTACTGCAAGAAGCAAAATATAAAAATAAAGAAGATTCAAATTTTTTACCAACTTCATCCAGTTCACATTTGGTCAAGGTGCTGACGTTGGATGGCATTCGATTCAATCCTACAAGAAGCAATATATAATAATAATGCTATTAAAGTCAATACCAGAAGCCAATTTCTACATTCCTTCTAACACATACTTGCGAAAAGTACAGTTACCTTCAGAACTTTGAACCTTGATCCCCATGGATAAGTACTACTTATGGGGAAGGATGTACATACTTCATTTCCCACTGAGTCCCTTATTCTGTGAATGAAAAACTCGCATTAAAATGCAAAAAGAAAGAAAACAATGATATTTTCCAAAGTCTGCAGTTAACTACTGATATAATTTATTTCAGATTTTGAATATTGAGTTGGAGGTTGTTCCATACCAAATTTTCGACTCACGAGAGTGGGAGAGTACAGAGTTTAATTTCTTTCATAAACCGTCTTCGCTCTAACAATTTAATTATTTATTACCATTGGTATTATTATTATTATTACTATTATTATATTATTATTTACTTATTGTTTTATTACAAACTACCAGTATTTATAGAATAAAATCCCTCAGTGATGCGCATAACAGCTCATACAATAACTTGAATGCTTCAACCTATCCAAAGAATTCCGCTTCAATCCTCTCCTCTTTGGTTGGTTAATCTTCAAGTTTAACGACATCTTATCCTACCGGATTGACCAACATGCTGTCTTTCACACACACATGCAGCTTATCTCTGCTAAATTTCCTTTAATTAATATTGCTCTCTTCACCTTAAATATGTAATTAATAAATCAACGACAAACATTTTCCAAAATATATGATCCATGTGTTGAAACCTGATCTATTTATAAAGACTCAAATATATTAATAAAAATGACGGCCACATGGAATGACAAGTTTACAGGAACGATTGGAACATCAATACTAGTCTGCAAAAATCTTTCAGCTATTTCTAGGCAAAGAATGGGAAGGCAGTTCTCTTACGAAACCCTTTAACAGAACTGAGTAGCATTATAAAATCGTTAGAGATATAAAGAATAGAAAATCTGTACAGTAATACCAATTTGCACTAATAATAATCATTCTAAATAAACATTTAAAAAATTCCTCAATGAAGCAGCAGAACCGCTTTGATATGTGTCTAAGAACAGTCAATTAAATTATAATTTCTCATTAATACTAGCATCACTTAATATTTAAATCTATTCTGTCTTTACTCGCAGTCGAGTAAAGACAGAATAGAAAGTCACTAGAAACTAAACTTGAGAAAGTTTAAAAAAAGTGAATCCCATTATCATTAATTTGAAAATGAATATTAATCCCTGTATAGTCCAATACCTCACACTATGTAGACTATAAATCTCGTGTACTTATATTTATTACAAAATGCAGACATATCTCGCTCGTCTCACTTCATTCAGTGTATCTTATTTAGATATAGTTAACAAATATTACGCTTAGTTTAAATTCTTAACACAGAGCTAAAATATACAGGAAAATAGGCAATAATTTATTCATATTCAAGTGAATTTGCTCATCACTAGATCTTTTCTCGTAGTTGTTGGATCTCGTCGTTGCATAAGATCACGAAGCTTTCGTGCTGAAGTTCGCGGTGTAGAATTCCGTAAATCCTCAGCCACTTTCATTAAATCATTGTCATCCTGCGGTAAAACTGACTCATCCATACATTTACGAACTTTTCCTTAAATAATCAGTATTAAAGTAATTCTCTTGGAATTATTTCCTAGGGCACCTTTTGTAATGGATAGGTCAAAATCATTTCATGCTTTGTTCTACCTCTACAAAAGAAAACAAGAATTGGAAGTTATAATTCCATAAAGATCGATTAAATAAGAAACTTACTCGTCAAATATGGATGTTTCTGTAATTCCTCAACGCTAGATCGCTGGTCGGGATCTCTTGTTAAGCATCTCTAGAAAAAGGCACTTCATAATAGTAAAACTGAAAGCATGCTGAACAATAAGATGAATAAAAATATGAGCTTCTGCACGATAATTATAAAAATATTTACTTTTAAAACATCCATTAAATCAGCATCTTCGATTTTCTCAAAAACTATTGGTTTATTCAAAATAGCATGCATCTTTTGGATTGGGTTTGTCCACATTTGATATGGCGTATGTCCATAAACCATGTTATACAATATGCAACCCAAAGCCCATACATCACATTTTTTACGAACCTAAAAGATTTCCATAAGAATTTGAAATAAGTTTCTAAATCTCGTAATGTCACTGTAAACAAAGGATGTTCTAATTCATTTCTAAAGAGCATTCTAGCAATTTGCTTTCCATTTTACAACTATCGTCCCTATCTTTACGAATTTATCATACTAAATATCGAGTTCCTTAATGAGAGGAGTAGAAATTTTTATTTTTCTCTAACCACCAAACCGATAAAAACAAAAATATTCCTAAAATTTACCTTGTAAATCTCTTTTCCATCATGCACTGAAGCATTTGAACCTGCAATAGCTTCTGGCGGCATATAAGATAGTGTTCCCATCTGTGTGTCTTTCATTACTGACGTCTTATTTGTTGGAATAGCAGACGAAATTCCAAAATCGATTAATTTTAGATTTCCGCCGACAAGAAGAAAATTTGCCGGTTTCAAATCAGAATGGACAATACCTGGAAATTATAAAAAAAGTCATCTAACTTTGACAATAAAAAAGAAAAAACAGGATTCTTGCTCACCTTTTTCATGAATAGTACGCACACATTTTAACATTTCACTCCAATAAAATCGGATAAATATATCATCAATTTGATTCCTCCGAGTCTTCAGAAAAGTTGCCAAATCGGTATCACCTTTTTCCATCACTACATACAAGAAATCACCATGAAGTTCACTAAAAAAGATAACTTCATTGACGTCTACCAAAAGTTTCATAGCTATGCTTGAGATTTGTTTTAACTTATTAGTTGACACTTTCTAGCTGATTTTTACTAGTACTATTAAAATCACATACTAATCAAACATCTCCACAACACATCCTGTATCCTTCAAACTAAGCAGCAGTTTGATTTCGTTTAAGTAGGCACTGCGGCAGCAATAATCAGCTTCCGATAAATCAACACACTTCACTGCACGTAATTTCTTCTGTCTTTCGTCTAATACTTGATAAACCTTGAATGAAAAAAATCTATTCTCTTTTCAAACAAGTGAATCGAGCGCAATCGTAATTATTGAGAAAGCAAATATAACTCTTTTGAATAAGTTCAGATCAAATGTACGTATGAAAAATTGAAGCAATTGAAAATACTACAAATAAAGTCTAACTTTACTGGAGCCTCCTTTACCCAATAAGTCGATCACAACATACGGATGACTATTTACGTAAACATAATGGTTAGGACGAGAAGTGGAAGCAGATTCTGAACGACGTAATGCGTGGACTGCTGATGTTGCCACACCATCACCATTCGGACCTGTTGATTGCTCCTTGAATAAGACTTCTGTTAACTGTTCCAGAGTTTTTTGTGAAGTATTTGAATTTTTTGATACCAGCTAGTCAAAAATATTTAGAAGCTCTTAGTTAAGAGATATATTCCTTACAACATGGGCACTAGCAGTTCGTTTTTTCCTGTCTTCAGCTGATCTGCTGGCTGACTTGCTACACCGCGTAACAGAATTATTAACTTTCTCGATTTGATCAGGGGCTACAAATATGTTTGTAAAATTTTTGCTCAAAAAGCTATTCCAATCAAATTCAAAGACATCACATTCTTTTTATAAAAAGTAGTTTCTGGTTTTGATCCCTAACATAACTTAAATCAACCTTACTTTGAATACGCCATGAACTTCAATATGTACTGCAGAGATGTTTAATTTTACATAAAAACTAGAAAGACTTAAATAGATGAAGAAAAAAAGCAAAAAAATTAAACAAACATTTTGATGTTGCAATAATGGGTTCTATAGGAATGCCAAGAGAAGTTCCAGTTTTCGAATTATTAACGGTAGATGTACAAGGTACTGCACTAATACTCGGTTTCAATGATGAATCTTGTATTGCAGGTTCTGGAATAGATGGCGTCTTAACCATGTTAATATTTTTTAAAAGCTTGGTCGGAGCTGTACAAGTCATGCGTGTATTTGTCGGAGCTGTAAGTACACTGTTTTCTTTATCGCCATCACCTATAAATACATCGCTTCTTTCTTATAAAAATAAAACACATTATATACCTTAATGAAGAATAAACTTAGGTTACTCTTAAAAAAAAAAAAGTCCTGGTAATATTATATCGACCTTTTCTTGTCATCAATATAAAGAAATAATTTTCACAATAGCCATCTTCAATCTTCATAGCAATTTCCTCATATATGCTTCGAAATCCTGACTGATCTGTTACAAATTTAAATAAAATGAGCAAAGACGTACTTTGTGCGCTTTGATTCTGATCTCCCTGTTCTTTCTTCTTTTGAGAGACTTGTAGTTCTCTAGCAGTACGCTCCGCTAATTTACGAAGACGTTCTCGCAAGTCTGAAGTTGACATCTGAAAAAGAGAACAAGTTACGGTTAACGTAGCAAGTCGGGTTAAAACGAGCAGAGGTATACGAATACAAAAGCAATGGATGAAATGATACACATCATAATTCAGATTTTCTTCTTTCCTTATTTCACGATGGTCAAGTGGTTAAACCACAGAGATAAATCTTGCCCTGTTAAGCAAGCTAAAATGGGTTTATTCACTTTAAAACGAAATTAGAAATGTTGCTATTACATTTCTATCTCCTCTGGCGATTTGCCCACGATCCTTAATTAAATTTAAGTGACACCACGGAGTGCTAATCCTAAACAGTAATGTTTTATCGATAATACAAAAAACACGTCATTATATTCTTGTCTTTATTAATCTACTAGCATTTTATTTCAAACACAAATTCCTGTTATCAAGCCCATATAGCGATGATAACAGTGATAACGCACTACAATCATGATAACAACATATCACCACATAAGTCAAGCAACTGACTCAAACTGAAATGAAATGCGGAAAAATGAATCTCATCAACTCCGTAGATTTGGAAATATGCGCGCGCCTGGTTTAAGCTTGAGTAGCGAAAGAAAAACCGGAATGGGAGAGCGACTTTTAAGCGCAAGGGGAGGGTGAGAAGTTGCTGCAAAAGTCCCGCGGAAGTGAAATCTCGGGACAGACTCTCGGAAACTTCCCTTGAAGATTTCAGGTTCGTCTGTGAAGCAAAATAGTTTGCAAATCTCTCGAAGCATAAAATAATCCTTTCGCCTCTGGTAAGACAACCAAATGAGTTAGGGAGAGGTTGCAAAGTTTGCAATGTTTTTTACCGATTTCAAGATGAAAATATAAATTAGAAGATATATTACATCAAATCAGTAATAATTCCGGCGAAATCGAATATCAGTGAATTTTTTAAAAGTGTTAACAAGACTGTCTGTGTTTTTTTTTAAACTACATGAATTGAAGATATGTTTTGTATGGGTGAACTTCCATAGATGGAATAAGTATTTCTGGATATAGTCTTTCTACTTTATGTCTAAAATTAAAGTAAAAGTAACTGTACCATTTAATGTTAAAGTAAGTATGAGATTAAGGAACTCTTCTTCAGTTACAGTATATAGATAACAAAAGTTAAATCATCTCTTGATTTACATAAGTTGAAGTAAGTGAATCAAAACAAACTTTTTTACATAAATTACAAAAAATTTTATGTAGTTTAAGCGTACGTCACAATATGAACCACGTAATCTGAGCGTTTTGGAGCAACGTTCATTCATTAACAATAGTGTCAGGCTGATATGATAACTTTTGCCATAAATAATATCATATACCACATTGATCCACACAAAATTGATCTTTTAAATTTATTTTCAATACATTTATGCAAATTGTTAAGTTATGTGATATGCTTGTATGGAGTAAGGATAAAGACAGTTAGGCCAAAGAAATGAAAAAAAAAAAAAAAACAAATCAATAGATGGAAAAGTGGAGTGGGAAAAGCCGATAAAAGCACTTAAGATATAAGAGTCAGTGTTAGATATGTTCATATAACTTATTGTTTCTTATAGACACTTGTTAGATTAAAAATAATTTGTGTGTGTCAATGACCTTTTTATTATCATGAATTCCAGGTAATTTTTAAAGCAGCAAACTTAGTTTATTCAAAATGAACTGCAATTATACCTGAAATAAAAGAGGTAACCTTGAAAATTTTAGATTCATCGTTTTTCAAATAGTACATTCTTCAACCTTGATAACTTCATTTTTTCGTGATATTAGGAATTGATCGACTCGTACCGAGGATTTGCCGGAAGGTGCAGACCCCACGTTTCAATGTACTTTACCCATACATGAAAAGAACTTTATAGTAGAAATCAATAAATTCTGTTTTTTTTTCTTGCGTAAATGCGTCTTTCACGTAAATGCAAATAAGAGAAAATGTAATGTAATTTGTAGAGAAAATCGTTGAAAAAACAAAAATGGTGATTTTTTTTGTCGTCATTGATGACAAATGTCTGACTGATCTGCTCATTTAGTTTTAATTCTGCAATTACCTTCGTTTTTTTTCTTTTTTTGTAACTTCACTGGCCTGCTATAAAAGTGTTCCATCTGTAGAATTTAATTTTTATATTCTCTCTACACATTGAATTGCGTATTAAAATTGGTGGAAGTTACGGGAACGCCGTCGAATTTCAAAGTGATGCGTTTGACATATTTCTGCTTGGCTTTGTTTTCATTTGTGATACTACCAACCGATAGTTACTTCTGCTGCGTGTAAGTGTATTCCTCTAGGATTTTTAGAAAATAACCCTGATTCCACCTTTTCCGGATTGTATAAAACCTTTAACCTCAAGCATGTCATTTTTGGATCATATTATACAATGATATTCTTAGCTGAGATATGGAAGAAAAATTTCTGAATTATTATTGAAAAATCTATTTTCTTACAATGACATTTCGGCTAATTTAGTTTAAAGCCTATGTGCATTTTATTTGTCCCTCACAGAAATGTATTTACGAAATTTTAGCATCATTATTTCTTTCCTAGTTTATTTTGTTAACTAAAAGAAAAGCCTGAATAGATAATGGATCTCAGTTTTCCTCCTTCGTTTTAAGAATTAGAGGCTCTTTTAGACCCTTATAAAATTTTCAACTCTCAATGCTATTACATTCAGAATTAAGTTATTTTTAGGCCTTTTTTGCCGTTCGTGTGTCAGTGTTTATGCTGTCCACCACCACCGCCACCACCGCCACCACCACCACCACCACCACCTCCACCACCACCGCCACCACCACCACCGCCACCACCACCACCGCCACCACCCGCACCTTACGTCTATCCGCGAAGGCCTATAGGAGTCGGCTATGGTTTTGGCCTGCTTCGAAGGCATCGCAGTGCAAGATCGATAGTCTTTAAGAGACGACAATTGTGATAATAGTAATCTTAATATTTTCCACAACCGGTCAGTGTTTGAGCCTAGGAAAATGTCTGAGTGATATTTTCTTCTTATATTCTCTATCTGAGAAAAAAATAGTGAGTGGATTCGAGTGAAATTCTTAAAACATGATATTATCCTATACACGGAATCTTGTACTCATATTTATCAAAAGAGTTAACACTACTATATCAGATAAATATTTTGATTCATTGTAATACTGTAGAATGAAATAACATATCATTACTCTTGGCAGTTGCTATAGAATTAATCATAAGAGATTTATGGCATTATTTTAGCAGATATTATTGATGATAATGAATAAAAGTTACTAGTTTAGTCCTCAATCAGAGAGTTTTTCAAAAAAAAAAAAAAAAATCTGAGGAAAAATATGTTGATATATCTATTCATGCATTATATGCACCTTAAAATAAAATTATTGTGTGCATGCGCTGCATAATATGTTGCATCGAAGGACTGATGCAAAAACATAGAAAGTAATAAGATCGAAAGAAAAAAGTATGATTTAAGGAAAACACATCGAATAGTGTTTCTACGTTTAGCTAAATGTCTATCAAATCTTTTTCAACTGATATTCAAACTATTTTGGATGGAATAATGTATATACACAGTATGATGGCGAAAAAATGAAAATCTGATTAAATTTAAATTAGATTAATTAGAAATTAGAAAGAGCTTAAATTAGAAAACAACTGATAAGAGTGCCCTTTAAATTCTATCTTGACACATACATTTAGTTCTTGTTTATCAATAAATTAAGGGCAACTTTCGATTGTCACCTTCATTAATGAAATGATAAATATATTGGTTTCGTGTGTGAAGAAATGTGACATATCACATGAAAACATTATTCATCCGTTACATTTAAGCGTAATCTTTAATATTACTATCAGTTCACTAATAAAGATGACAGTATTGAAAGTCATTCTTAAACTTAAATTATACGAAATGAAGAGCACATGTGGAAGCACTTAGAATGTTGCCACATTATTTAGAATCAAACGAAAATGAATTTCTATTTGGCATTATGAAAGAGAGTAATTGTGCAGAGAATATAAATATTTTTCAACTAGAGTGGAGGTAGGGAGAATTTAGAATCAGTAATATGACAAAAGCTTTTTTTTAGTACGAAACACTGAAATAAATGGAAAATTTATTTACTTATTTACTCTCCTACTTGCAACGAGTTAATAGTTGCTGTTATTTATTAAGAATAGTAACTATTAACACTTACAGTAATTCGTAAAATTTGAATGATATAAATTTACATTGCCACGGCAAAAATGAATGTTCAAACTTTGTAAATATCTATAAGTCAAGAAACAAAAATATTTTAATAACATATGTAACACGGCTAATGTGGATGCAATAAATATAAAGATTGCTTCAAATGTAGAAGCTCATTCTAACCTAATTTAGTCCTAGAAATGTCTTTACGATGTCAAGACGAAATGATGCATGCTGTAGTAGGTTTGCTTCTTAATCCGGCTTGCATGCAGCAGATCTGCCTCAGACCGATTATTGAAGATTTGCTTCAGGTCTCCATATTACAGCTTTGTCTCAAACCTGCTATTCCTTCTCTTTATTCATTTCAATCCATTTTCGTTGAAAACTGAGCTACTTCTTTCGTTATGATCTTTTGCTGTTTCTATCAACTAATGTGCCAATAATTTGAAACCAAAGGATAATCAAAGTGGGTGCAGTAATGGAGATACGAATCAATGATGAAAGGAACATCTTTTTAAAACCAATAATTTATTTAAAAAAAAAAATACTAATTTTTTAAAGAACTAAATCTTCAAGTAAGTTTTCTCAGTTTTCCAACATTTCAAGCATCGGCTAGCCAATTAATCTGCATATAAATATTTGTCAGATTAATTGTTAAAAAGCAGAACTCTACTGTGACAATAGCAGCTGTGTTGAAGATGTCCTTTTCTCCAATTATATTGTACTATTTCTTGCATGAATAGCTCTGAATCATTTCATATAGTTATTATAGCTTAGCTAAACTGTGCATATTTACATAGTAATTAATTTCTGAATGATAAAGTTGGTTATGATGGTAAAATGAAGTATCGGAAGTGAGAGACGAAAGTGATAATTAATTTTACTGTCATTTGCTTTTTTTTTTTTTGTATAAAGCACAATTCCTTCCCAATATGAGTAATTCATTGCTCTCATACTGATGAAATAACGAATTACACTTCATAGAAGTGATGGGAATCAGAGAGAGACCTCAAATTAAACAGGTTTGTTTACTCACCAAACTATAAACAGTCATCGAAATAGTTGAAAGTTTCGGGAAACATATCAATGAATTAGAGATTTTAAGAAAACAAAGGAATGGTTCTTTTCAGTTTCATGTTTGCAAGGGTTGAAGGACATTTTCGCACATCACTCTTTTTCTTCTTCCATTTCTCTCGCACATACTCTTTTGATCGCCGGTTGAAACAACGGTTACTATGAGCATATGAGAAAAAGCTCTTACTGACGTATCAAATAACACAGAAGGTTACACGTATCGAGAACACTTCAACAATTTCACTTTCCACATTTGGCATCGAAATTTCATGCCTTCCTCAATTGCAATCACAAAATTTCAGAAGTAATATGTGCACGAAATTCCGCCAATAGCTTCTAAATACTAATGGAACATAATCAAGTGCAATTGTCCAAAAGTGTTCGCATACTAAAAACTGGCGTTAATCACATTTCATTGGATGAAGCATCAAGAACTTCCTGCATCAGAATAATTTCAATTAATATCATTAATTGAAATCAAAATAATTTCTATTCGAAACGACTGTTTTATTTCTTTATAGATTTTGTAAAGTACTCTTCTTTCCTCAGAGATCATTTCCCATAAGAAGGCGCAAAAACTGCAAGTTATCCTCGAAGTCTGAAAAACATACTTCAACAATGATATTGATGAAATGAAATGTTTTCTCAGAAACTTTTTTTCTGTTTTATTTTGATACGTAAAAGGTGAAAATAGAAGCACTAATTGATGCATTAATCAGAAAAAAAGGATGAAGATTTATGAGCATTTGGGGGTGAGAATATTAGCACCAATATTTTCTTGGGAGTTGTTTTGAGACTATTGGATCTGTCTTATCTAGTGCTAAGCTATATAAAAGTATATCAATGATTGACAGTCCATGACACCTCTGGTGAAATTCCATTTTTTGTTGTTGAAGTTGAATGAACTAAATAATTTCATTGGAGTGTCTTTTCCTCCCTTTTAATTTCCCTCTCAAACTGTCATCATTCCCAGCTTTTTCACCTTTAAATCTGTTTACTTTAATAAGATTGAATATTAAAATATGAAGACAAAAAGTGAAAAGGTACAAACAAAATATTTCTGTTGTCCAAAAACTTCGTCACATCCTGGATGTCAACCTAAAGCGACGACTGCTTAACATTTCACAATGGATAAAGCATATAACAAAGGCAAAGAAATTGACTGCACTGCGATATCAAAAATGAACAAAAAGCGCTTATCAATAATAATCAGTTAAGCGCCTTCTGTCCATTCTTAGCAAGCAGAGAACATTACATTATATAGCATAAAATATAAAAGAATTTCATGCGAGGCGATGAAATGAGACATACATATCTAATTTTCAACAATAAAACTGATTTCATTTTAGCGTTCGGAAGTAAAAGATTTTGTTTTTGATAAATTTTACTACTCTCAGTATCCATTAAACTGTGAGTTATTTTATCAGAACAGTATGAATAGTACGAGTGTTCTTTAGATTCTGGTACATATCACTTAGTAGAGACATCAAAAGTTTTTGGAAGTGTTTCAGCATATTTTCGTAGTAACTTAAATGAATATCGGTTGAAATGATTTGAACTTGCATTATTAGCAATCAGTTCCTTTCCACCGTTTATTTTCTCTGCAGCTTAAGAATAAGACAATAATCTGAATTCATTTAAAAGAACAGAAATATGCAGGATAATAGCAACTGGATCGGATTCCATTCAGCTCATACTAAATTCGAAATTTTCGGTACATCGATCATCGATCCTCTTTATTTTTAATGTTTGAATTAATTTTTAAAAGTTTGACTTTCTGATTCTCACACACAAACACTGTGGATGTTTTTATTACCCTTTTTATTTTTTTTTTAATAACTTTAGTCTTAGGTAGAAAGCTACTCTTAACACTCTGATAAGAAATCGAAGCGGTAGAGTTGCATTTATGGAAAGCGCATAAATTAGACAAAATCACGTTAACTAACTAATTAAATTAAATAAATTATTAACTGGACTAATCTAAGATATAATCACTCAAAAAAATTCTTTTGATAATGTTTCCAATGAAATTTTAGTTAAAAAGTTTAGAAGTTCAAAAATATTTCTATTTATACTTATAATTTTTTAATGTAACAAATAACAAATAATTTGTTTTTCTTTTTTCGATCAACAAGTGTTTTTCCTCCAATTACTTAATACTCACATTTTTCATTGCTATCTTTTGCAATCATTTTTTGAATCCAAGGATGCTTCAAGATGTCCGTTAGCAGTAAACGTTTCACGAGATCCTTTTGAAGAAGGCGTGATATAAGATCTTTTGCACCATTTGGTACACTACCCAGTATTGTAAAATATCTACAATTGCTTGGAACTCTTTCCTTCCAGCACTGAAAACTTATAATGATTTAGCTTACAATATTATTTGAGTAAAATATTACTATCCAGCACCTATTCCACATGCTGATGAGCCTCACTATATTTGAAGAATGTATAAATTAGCATGTTAATAGATAAATTGATCAGCTGATTAATTCCATGAAACTTGTATATGCAACTTTGCCGAGCTTATCAATCATATGACACGTGTTGAGACTAATTTAAGACCCGATATGTTAATAAATAAGCATTTCTTGCACAAAAGTTAAAGAATTAAGTGAACTTCGATAATTTATTTGTATTCCACTTTGTTTTCTTTCTAAGCTATACAAATAAACTACACTGTTATGGTACCAAAATATCAGGTTGCTTGGAAGGTAGCTTTCATCTCCAACACGCAAAAACTAATTGGAAGAAGTCAGTAGATTTTTCTCTTGTTGAATATTTTCACAGGGTTTAGCTTGATTATTCTGTCATTCAATTACTTGCTAAATTTTGCTGCTATGATTCATTTCATTATTTGCTATCTATCACTCTCTTAATTTATTTTCATAAAATCAAACAAAAATAATGGAACTGATAATGGCATTGAAAAACTCAACTGATAAAAAGATTTTATTTGAGATGAGTTCAATAACCAGACAATGACTGAGCATGTATCATAGTTTTTTTTTTCGATGATAACTTAAAGTCATTATTAACTCAGCGGCACATCTTTGTGCAAATGGGGTGATCCTATCTAGAAGAAAAAAAATTAATCTTTGCTCTGTATAATCTTCAAGGTTATGAAACCACCTAGTTTCTTCACTTTGAATACTGAAATGTCGGTGTATTAAATTAATGGTCGTTTTTTTTATGAAGGTGATACTAATTATCACGCATCACTTTGTCAAATTTCAGCAGTTCAAAGACGAAAACGGTTGTAGCGATAAAAGCGCTTGACAAAGACACTATCTAAATTCAAGAATTTCTCACTCTTTGTTGTTTTCAATGGTTTTTTGTGAAACTGAGACAAAAGAACTAAAAAAATATTATTCAGAAATACGGTTTCATATTCGACGTGTGCGTCAGTATCAGAAGATTTGGTTCATTTAATTGCTGTTAGCATAAAATATGTCATTGTAGATAGTAGTGAATTAAATTAAAACAATATATCATTAAATCACTGAGGTACATAGAGGTAACAAGTAAGGTAAATGATATATGTCAACGAACAAATTACGGGAACATATAACACCTTAAATAACAATAGAAAGCCAACAAAAACATCGCATCCAAGTTTATTAGTGCATTGGAAATTCCGATGTGGACAGTTTATAAACTAAAAGCCCTTTATTTAGAATTTTTGATAAGCAGGTTAAATTACATCGGATTGTTGGCCTATTTACAGGATGAAGTTAAATAGAAATACCAAATTTTTGAATTAATAATATTTTAAGCAATTGAGATTCTGGATTGTGGATCTAATTCTGGCATTTACGCCAATTGACTTCTGCGCATCTTCAAAAATGCTTTGGTTTTCTTTTCATAGTCACTTTTTGTTGGTGATGAGTTGTACTCGGTTCCAGCAATACCTGCGGTAACAGCTACGGGAGTGTCCGATTGTTGTGGCCCAAACATATACTGTCCCGTACCAGGAACTGGTAGCTGCGGAGGTAGTGCGCCAAATTTATTCTCATTCTGTCCACTCTGTTGTGGAAGACTGTATGCGGATGAATAATCACCGAAATTGCCATTTCCAACGCCATACGGACCGGTTGCATAACCACTAGAAACACCGGCAGCCGGTTGTTCAAGTTGATTTACGTTGAAACCATAAGCTCCCACATTTTGATACTATAAAAATTGCATTTAATACGAAATACGTTGCAACTATTATTATTCCAATTTAATACAGTGTAACTATTATTATCTCAATTTAATATATAATTATATTTAATTATTATCAAAAAATCATTATTATCAAATCTACTGACTTTATATTCTAACAACGTTCTATTATTAATGCTTACCCAGTAAAAGTACAAAATGACAAAATGACATTGCTATGAAGAACACCAGGAGTTACTTATGCTAAAATCATGATTGCTTCTTTTTACCCATTTTTATTACCACCACCATCTCCAATCTAACTAATAGTAAATAACAGTATCAAAAAACTATTTCCAATATGTCACATTATTTTCGGAATAAAGTACAAATGGAAAAGACTGCCGATGTCTGCGATGTGACCCAACCTAAGCTTCAGGATGCAATAGGCTAAATATGATTTTATAAGTACCTGTTTCGCAAATTGGACAGCAGCTATTTTTTGTAAATTACCTCACTCCAAGTAATTATGACTATCATCTAATTAATAATAAAATTTTTATTTTCTGCTGCGCAAGTTATATTAACTTTTCAATTCCTTCAGTAACAAAAATTAAAAAAATGAAAACTTTTAAAGAATTAAAAAGTCACTGATGATTGTTGTTGACTTGAAGTGCTTGGTAGTGTTTTATATGAGTACGGTTGTTGAAAGTAACCATTTCCGACCATTTGCTGTCGTATGTTACTGCTATCAGGTGTCGCATAAGCACCACCAATAGGATATGCAGATTGTGGAGGTGGCAGAGACGGTAATTGCGGCTGCAAAGGGAATCCACAAGGGCATTCACAGGTAGGTAATTTAGGAAAACATGGTGCCCTAAATTGCAAAATATTAATCACAACAAATTGAATCATTGAGCATTTCTGAGAATTACTTTTTTCTCCGGTCACAATTATTTTTCAAACCAAAATTGATTCAAAAATTCATTTTTTTCCAAATCCTTATAACATGCTACAAAAAAAGTTAATTCGAGCATTCGGTTAAAGGTACTTACAAATTTAATAGCTTTCCAGGGAGAGAAAGAAGAAGAAAGATAAACGCAATAGCTTTCACTATTTTAAATCTGTTAAAATTCCAACAAACTTTGGGAAGTGTCTATTTCTAAGTTTTATCATTGCAGAAAAAGTAACGAGTAGTAAACAAATGATAGTGCCGAAAAATTGAAAGAAGAAAAGAAACTAACATGCAACATCCAAATGCATTTGGGCCTCCAGCTAATGCATGACCATTGGAATTTGGAAGGATTATTATCATAGATATGATAGTAGCTAAAGCCAAAGAAGTTGAACAGAACCACATGGTTTAAATGAAAAGAAGATAATCGAAAATGATGACAATGGTTAAAGAAGCTGACCAAAAGTTGATCGTTTTTTCTTAACTAACTATTTTATATAAATTTACGATTGCATTTGAAATATAAAACTGGATTGCAGGCGAGTAGTAGGCCAAGGTCATCGGAGGGTCCGTCCATATTTCCTTTTTAATTTCTTTTTGCTTTTCTGCTCCTACTGCTAGCAAAAAAAAAAAGGAAATTATAAAACTTTATTATCACAAAAATTAAAATCCTAAATGTATGTACTGGAAATGCAAGAAATTTTCCAAAAAGTATGCGCTCGTCTTGAATGATTAATTAATTGCTTACACAAAGACTTAAAAATAAGTTTAGAAGCCATTAAAGAATTCTGTTTTCCTTCTCCTTGAAAATAGACCATTATTTATTTGTAGTGATTCCTGATAATTCTGATGTTTGTGACACTTTTAAAACTTGATGCAAACGATGTAGAAATATTATTTCTTATTTTTCGGGAATTCGAAGTTGTAACTTCAGACAATTTCTTTCTGAATAGAGAACAATATAGTTAAAAATAAGCAGTTATTCTAATTAAAGTTACACCAACCATCGCCTGTTAATAGTTTCAAAAAAAAATCAATTCATTACTTTTTTTTTCAAAACTCAAAATATGAACTGCATTGAAATAAATGTGATAAATAGATTTATCACTGAGGTGATGTACTTTCTGATATGGAAAAAGAAAAACAACAAATGAACTTGAAAAAAAATGCTTACCGAATTTTCAAAGAATTTGTTACTAAAAATCATTTTTGATTTGAAGAATAAAATTGTTATTTATCCTAGCATTGAATTTCGGGTACTATAATTAGAATGTATGCCTTTACGGTCTCCATATCGAAGCTATGAGAACCAATTTCCAGCTTCAACTTTATAACTTCATTTAAACTCTTCCTATTACTCTTTATCCAGTCAGTTTTCTCATCCTTACCTTGGTAATTGTTGTGAAATGATTGAATAATAAACAGCTGGAAGAATAAAATCATATTTTTTCCTTGCAATACTTTGATAACATCCAGTAAATTTGAAGTATATCTATGCTTCAAAACTGCGATTTCAAAATGGCAGTATAATATTTCAATTAAGACTTGATGAAAACAGATGAAAAGTATTATGTTCCATACTCTCTGAAACAAAAAACTCTATAAACATTAGCAATAATTTTTTTCATTGTTAATGATTTTCTTGTTAATGATGATTACAACTCTTTTCATCTTATAATTTGTTTATGAAATAATATCAAAATTTGAAGTGGTCTCAGTAATTCATGTCAGCAAGCAAAAGAAAATCGTAAGTTGAAATCATTCCTTAGCTTTATTTTCAAATTTTTTCTCACTAAAAAATGAATTTAAATTAATGAATCAAACAAAGTACAAAACTCAAAAAAACAGTTTACTTTTTTAAACCACAATGGAAATATGTTTGTAGCTACAAGATTACTAAACAAAACACTGGATGCTCCCATATATTGAAAGTATTGAAGGTGCCGGGAGGTAAAGTATCAAAGGTTCGGAGAAAAATTGACAAGTCATTATATGAGTTCTTTCTCTTTCTTTACGTTATTTCAGTATCATTTTTATTCTACATTTAGTTAAAGGTCTGTTTAGAAATAACAAAGCAGCCAAAATAAAGCATATTCCGACATTTTATTAATAATGATTGATAAAATAAAATGAATTAAAATTAACTTGAGCAAATTAAACAACATTATGAATTACTTGTTTTTTTTTTTTAAAAAAAAACAAGTTCCCTAATTCCACACTTTGAAATGACAATACGTGGAAATATATTAGCATCTTGAATTAAAAATGTAAAAAATAAAAAATTTAAATTCAAAACTAATTTTACCATTTGGAATATTTGGAACTGAATGACCTTCCACGAATATGTCTCCTTCCTCTGCTACTCTATGAGAGTGTTATCAATTATATCATTTCTTCCTTGAATTATATTAATGACTGTTAAATCTTGATTGTTTACTATTTACTTCTGCTAATATTTACTTACAAAATTCCACTACTTTTTTTGCTCATTACATAACAAACTTGCTACACTCTTTCGCACAAATTCCGGAAACTGTCGGCTTACAATACTTGGCGACTATTTAGCTATGCTTTCTATTCATATCACAGAATCCATCGAACTTGAAAATTTCAGTTATTGTGTAAAGTTCAACTGTAATTAATTTCCAAAGCCGAACATCTTTTTTCTTACAACGTGGAATCAAGTACTGTAATGTTTTTATTAAGTGGAATTAAGTACTACCAATAGGAAATGCTTTCAATCATATACTCCCATTTTTCCTTACAAATACATGTAAACCTGTTTTAAAAAGATGTTCCTTGAAACAACATTTAAAATTACTTTATGAAAATATTTAGGTTTTTTCTCCAAGTGTTGATATTTTTCATAAATGTCCTGTGCATTAAAATTTTAATGTGTATCTTGTAAAGTACTGAAGGAATGTCCTTATATGGAATTAATTGCGACAGGAATTAAAATAACTAGTAAGTACCAAAATTTGTTAATGCAGGGATTTGAGGTTTGTTGCACTGATATGTTTGTTTCAAAAATTCAACCTTTTCCGAATTTTAATTTAGCGGATGTGTCTTTTCAGAAAGTCAGCAGTATTTAACAGTAATATAATGAATCTTATTCCTGCTCTGTTTCTGATACTGATGCTGCCATTTATTGTGAATTCGTATTATTTTTATCCTTTTTACGGATATTATTATCCTGTTTATCCTGTTTATCCCGTTTATCCTGTTTATTTTTCTTTCGGATTCTATTCTCCTATGTTCAATAGGCAAGTTCATTCCTTTTTAATTTTCAATAAAAATTTGCATCTAAATTAACTGAGTTTTATTTGAATACTTTATTTCATTTATTTCCTTCATTCGAAAATATGAAGTTAATTTATGATAAACAAAATATGAAATTGATTTATGATAAATTTACTTTCACAAAAAGTATGAAAATGTTTTATGATAAACCTGAATTGATGATCTAACAGATAGCATTTTCCGATTGGTTTTCTTTCACTGTGCTTATCTTTTTGATTTACGATATAAAATTGTGCTGAAAGAACCAATAGCTTCTTCTTCTCACCAAATCACAAAAGGAACCAATTTTTGTGGTTTGTCACCATTCCCTCAACTGAGAGACTTGACCGCTGGTCGTCTAAGTGCTCCATAGCCAAAGATATCAAAAATCACAAATTGAATTATCGGCAGGAGCACTACCACTCTTTGCTTCACCAAGAATCTACGCCTCTCAATTTTGTTGAGTACTGTAAGCTTTGTCACTGATATCATCGAGGGAAGCATCAGGTTCATCAAGCACTTTACCTCTTCCTTCCTTTCCTCTATTAGAGGAAAGCTGTGGCATTAATCTATGATTAGAAAGAATGATTAACATTAGCTTCTTGTAGCACTGAAAAAATTTCAAGTAAATTTCAAGGAGTTTTATCGTCTTGATATTAAAGCACCAAAATTTAAATTGTAATGAAAGTGAGTCATAAATAACAAATATAAGCCCCATACAAAACCAATTGCTCGATTAATTCCATCGATAAAAATATAATAATCGAAGGAATCAATTTCCATAAAATAATTGAAGCTAATTCTATTCACAAAAATTATGATAATAAAACTAATCTTATTTACCCAACATCTGTAAAGAAAATAAAACTTTGAGTGCTCTTTCTCTTTGATCGAGCCACCAAAATGATTATAGATCAAGGATCAAGTGTATCCCATGAATGAATCTTGCAGTGTCTTTAAGTCACACACACTCACGCACGCACACGTCATATGCTTCGTTTTACGTTGCCCTAACAGAAAACGGTATACCGATGTGCGCCCCACGATCTAATTTTTCTGTTCTTCTACCAAATTCATTCGAGTAAAATCTATTTAGACTGGTTGGGCATAATTTCTGCTCCTTTCTTTTATCACTGGTATCGTCATTAAAATTGTGTTCTAGGAATTCTAATTCCTGAGTATGTTGTTGTATTAATGTTAATAAAACAATTACCCAAGTTTGAGGTACCAAAAAAAAAAAAAAAAAAAAAAAACTTCCACTTTTTGTTGCTATCAGAAATTGTCGACAAGGACTATTAGGTAATAATTCGGTCTAATGCACACCTCATCATCCAGTTATCAATTTTCAGAATGTCAACCGGATTTCAACGTGGTGCTGAAATAGGTGCTGCTATTGGTGGTCTGATAGGAAGTTTCACAGGGAAGTAATATTAACAAAAAGACCAGTTCTAGAACACTTCAACTATGTTTTTCGCTCTATTCGTTTAATACCGAATAAAACGTACTAATTGACAAGTCATTTCTTCTATATTCCTCGGACACCGAATACAAATTCAACTTGATCGAATTATATGAACTCTTCAGAACATCATCAGCTCCATATTGAGTCCCATCTGAACAATCGCTTCCATACTATCATCAGAACTAAATAAGGACTTTTGTGCAATCCACCAAAATCATTGAATTCAGTCATTTCTTTAGAAAAACCCATCTCATTGTAACTTTCTGGTTGCGCAGGTAAAAACGATTGGAATGAGTTATCAGAAATGATTAAATAAGAACACGATAAAAGCAATGAGTAATGGGCTATTCACAACTTTATGATAAAGTCAAACGCATGCCCAAATATGGTAAGTATATTAAGAATATTAATTTCCATAAATAATTTCACCACTACCCATTTTAATCGTCTTCATATGCATATCACAACTGCTGCAATAAGAATATCATTGCAAACCTTAAGCTTCGCTAATTTTTTTTTTTTCAATAATATATATATATATACACTTTATACATCTCACCTAGCATTTCTTCTTTTCTTAAAAAACTAACAATACATCTCGAATGCAAGCTTCCCAAATAGCAAACATGACTATTATGCAAATGTCTCCGCTAGTTCATATTGAAAAACAGATGAAATTTATTGATATCAAAAAACGCAAATTACAATAAAGTTATTATCAAAGCTTTAACAATGATGGAAATTTGTTTTTTTACCACTTCTTTTCTCATCGAATAGGAAATGTCAATATAAAGAGGTGTTTGATAACCAGAAAGATCCTACTTCGATTAATATAACGGTAATAATGCACAAACAAAAGCACAACATCAAGCTTCTTACAAGTACAAAGCTTCCGGAGCTCCTTCGTTCTTGCGGTAAAGCACATTTTCTTTTGATTTCTTAAAATCGTCCATCGTTACTCGCATACGGCGTTCACGCAATGCAAGTAAACCTGCCTCTGTACACATCGCCTGAATTTTTTTTTGGATATTCAGCTTTAACTTCCAACAAGTAGAAAATCAAAAAAAAAACTTAAATTTCGATTTTTTGATATTTTCAGTTCCTAACTCTATTTTGAAGGATCGATACTAAAATGAATGATCTTTTATCAGATTTGTAAAATCCAGTTTAAAAATACAGATATTTTTTTGAATTCAAAAATACATATTTTTTTTTATTTTTGAAATCACTGAGGCATCCATATGAAGAAAAAGGGACAGTTTTACAATAAAGACTTCGGTTGTTATTCACGGCAATATTGCTTCATCCATAAAATAAGAAGAAAGCACAACAGTAAAGCCCGACCTTAATATCTGCACCACTAAGTTCATCCTTGGCCGCAATGAATTCATCAAGATCAACGTCGTTAGCCAACGTCATTCGTGATGTATGGATTTGAAAAATGCGACGCTTGGTCTTTTCATCTGGCAATGGAAATTCGATTTTACGGTCGATACGACCTGGCCTAATCAAAGCAGGATCTAGTGAGTCGATGCGATTTGTCGCCATAAGCACCTAGAATCAATCTCTTTCTCCACCTTTTATAAACATTTCTTTTTATACAGCGATCTCGAAATATACATATGAAGTCCTTTAAAAAGAAGCCTTACGACTTAGGAAAAAAATTACTTTAACGTCACCACGCGAATCAAAACCATCTAGCTGATTAAGTAATTCAAGCATAGTACGCTGGATTTCACGTTCACCTCCAGAATTAGAGTCATATCTCTTTGTGCCAACAGCATCAATTTCATCGATAAATACAATTGACTGAAAGTTACTTTTTACAGTTATGGTCGGTAACAAAAGCAAAAACACTATTAAACAATGAAATAATGACATAAGAGATGAAAATGATGCAAAGGAAAATAATGTTTACAGGAGCATGTTCTTCTGCAACTCGGAAAAGTTCGCGCACCATTTTAGGCCCATCACCTAAATACTTCTGGATAAGCTCCGAACCAACAACACGCAAAAATGTAGCAGATGTTTGATTAGCAACTGCTTTGGCTAATAACGTTTTACCCGTACCAGGACATCCATAAAGTATAACACCTAAAAGAACAAAATAATTGAATTCCCTGAAAATAAAAAGAAGTGTTCAGAAATTTCCTACAGCAGAATCACATCTCTATCATAAAAATTATGCTATAGTAAATGTGATGAACTTTCAGTGATTTTTGAATATTTGTTACAACAGAGTTCCATCATTTTCATTAAAAACGAATAGTTCGCAGATTAATAAGATATAAGATAGTAAACAAACTGTTTCTCCATAGCAGACTATCAAAAAATAATCAGAGTCATTAAGAAAAATACGAGATATTTCTCAAAAAAAGAAAAAAAAAAACGATGAAAATTTTAAGCCGACACTTTAACCTGCGAACCTTTCGGCGGCTTAATGCCCATTTCTTCATAATATTCAGGATGAGTTAGGGGCAATTCCACAGATTCCTTGATCTCTTGTATTTGCTGGTCCAGTCCACCAACATCTGCATATGTTTCCTGTAATGAAAAGTCTTAGGCATAAATGAAATCCTAAAAGCGTTTTATCTCACCATATAAAGCGAAGGTCCCGTCCAATACTTTTCTGCTAAACAGTTTCCATCTTAGTTAACAGCAAAGTACTCCTAATAAAAAAATAGCTCTCCATCAAAATTTCTCTTTTTACCTGTGGAGCTTTCTCTAACTTCATCACAGAAACCATTGGATCTGTGTCATCAGCCAAAACTCCAATCACAGCATGAGTTTTATGATTCAGCAACACGGCACAACCAGGTTCCAGTTGTTCCTTATCGACAAAAGAAAGAATGTTCACGTAATGCTCGCTCCCCACATTCTGGAATATGGATTAGAGCATGCAGAAATTACAATAATATGGCTAATGACAGTTATCATAAGCATGGATATGTACCGTGGAAACGATTGCATGCTGATCATCGATGATTTCTTCCAAATTGCCAACAGCCATTGGAGTTCCACGTAGATCATTCACTTTACTACGTTCTTCCTGAAATAGCTTTCCTTGAATTATTAAATAACGCTAAGAATTGTTATTTCTTCCTGGTTTTCAACAAAAATCACGGAAAAAATAGAATTACCTCTTGTCTCTCTTCTTGTGGTTTTAAGCGTTCCTGATTTCGAATAAATTCTTGCTCCATCAGTAGGTAATCCTTGATTCGCTCATACTTCAACAGTTTCAAACGACATCGAGTATGAGGCGTTACTTAAAATGGGATAATACTGTAATGCTTGTAAATAACACTTTGTTGTAAAATATGCCTTATAAACCGTTCCACATAACTGAGTTTAAGAATAATAACCAATGAAGCATTTACCCGTAGGTAGTTTCGTAGCAGCATCTGGTCCCTTCCCCTTCTTCTTACGTTTTCCTATTCGTGTTGGGATTGGTGCCTCGTATTTTCGTTTCTTTTCCTTTAAAGATATTAAATGGCAAATCTTAAAAGCGCATTCGCAGAATATGTAAGCTAGTCAATCAAAGCTGTAACCTTTCTCTTGATGTATAGCATTCAAATAAAAAAAAAAAAACGAAAAACCTTATCTGCATCTCCACCTCCTCGATCCTCACGTTTTCCACCGAAACCAGACTGTTGCTGTCCCATCTCTGAATGAATTTTGGTCAAAACGTATCTGGCTACAATGATGTTATCAGCTTTAAATCTATCACAATTATGCAACACAGTTTTCTCATAATCTTAACAACAACTACTACGTCTAACTCGTTACTTCTACCATTATAATTCTTTAGAATTGTACTCAATATTCTCATTGAGCAAACTTAGTCAGTTGGTAAAAAATAGACTACAAGGACAAGCTATAAAAGTTGTTCATTTTCTTACAGTTCTTACAGTCATTCTAAAGTAGAGTTAATATCACAACTATAACTAATTAATCTATGACCAATCGTGGTCCCTCACAATTCTTGCCGAATCATCTAGTCCTTTATCATGTCGCAATCACCTTAAAAACCATTCCCGAAAAATTTTCAAGTAAACCACGAGAAATAATCATGTCTTTGCATAAGACTAGAGCGTTGTGAAACACATAAATCCTACGGTCTCGTTTATCCGGATCCGGTCCATATTTAATAACTACTCTTAGAAGTGAATTAGGAGACGGAGAATCAATATAAGAGAATAATGTCTTTAACCCTTTACGACACCAAACCACTACACTATTCATTCCCTATTCTCATGTCTCTTTTACGTGTTTCCGTAATCACCACATCCCTCTTCTCTTGTTCATTGTCACTAGCATGATCAATTAGCACTAAATATTTGCTCGCAAAAGCAATGTGACATAAATGTTTGCGTAAATGTTAACACAATTCACGCAAATGACAAAATCATATACGAATTACACATCGAAAGTTTTCTTACCTGTCTTATAACTTACTGTGTTGCATTTCTTTCGGAAATTTTTTTTTGAACAACAAATTAAATATTATATAAAATTAAATAAACAACAAATCAAATATTAATCAAGAATTGAATATTACAACATTTGCACTTATTTATTATCAGTAATTATTAAATATTAATCAATAAATTAAATATCATGTCAATTTTATTTTTTTACTATCAGTAAATTCTCGCAATAATTATACATAACAAAGACTATAAAACGACTGCTCAGTTAATTGACAACTTTTTCTATCTGTTATAAATGAATATTAATTATTAATTATGCATAGAAAAAAACTAATAAGCAAAAAGTTAGTTTATATATTATAAAATGTCCTTTGCGTTCCTTTTTCTTCTATTTCCACTGATTGAAAAATAGTGGTAAAAGGCAAATATTGTGAAATAGAACACTGTAAAATACAAAAAATCAAACAATCTTTCTAAAGCTAAAAAATTGATTTGTCACAAAATTATTACCAATAATTATTTCTCGCAAATAAAATTTTCGTAATTAATCTAGTACAATCGATCATTCATCAACAACGTCAGACATGGCAAAGACTAATCTTCTCTCTTTCTAAATAACCCACACCCATGCTAACAAAACCGCTACTAAAAAAGTGTAACTTGTACCAATTATAAAAAGGTAAAATTATTGAAATAAACTTGATTCAGATATCACAAACAATTCGAACTTTATTTTATAAAGCTCGAACTATTCTCCAAAAGTGATTTGCTTCTATAAATAAATGACTTATATACAAAGCAAGTTCTCCACACATTCTATTGCTCTACATATAATAGTCCATTTTCCTCCAACTTAAATAAAGCCATTCATCCAACAGTCCTTATTCATACTGATATGATCGCATTTCTTTTTTTTACAAAAAAGATGGAATTTATCTCAAAGCAGCTAGAGTGGGAGTATGTGACGAATTACTCGACAAAAAGATATACGAATATTTTGGAGAAGACATCTGACTCCTTCATATCTGTATTCAAATATCAATTAATCAAATATCTTCCTCGAAAAAACGACAGATATACGGGACGAAATTCTTTCGCAAAAATTAATAATTTGTACGAGAAGACATCTGACTCCTTCATATCAGTAAATTATAGCCACAGAATATTCATTTCTCGAAGTACATCATTACACTTCGAAATTTAACCAGCTAGCTATTACAGGAAGTCACTTTTTCTTGGTTAATACTATAAATCCAGAGAGCTAATATTTTTTTGACTTAATTAAAACACTGCTAATGACTGGTAGAATTTGATGAAAGTAGAGGGTAGCTGCTAAGGCAATTTCTATTCAGTGAAGCCAAAAAGGACACTCAAAACTGTTTCTAGCAAGCAATTATCTATTTTATCAGATAACTCTTCAAACTTGGTTCCAAAAAGGTATATGCAGCTACAAAGGGCAACCTTACAATTTGTAGGAAAATACAATTCCGATGAAATAGTAACCTAAAGTCATGCAGTGATACAAAACCCGCGAATGTTGAACTTAGCGAACATAGTCAAAAAATTTTGTTAAAATTATCCATCTCGCAACTGAAACTTATCACACAATGCAAAAGTGTGTAATCACAAATTCTAATGACTCCGAGGATTTCATTCGGCAATGAAAGAATCTGCATCTGAACCGATTATAAAGAAACCATAAAAAATCTTCCAGAGAATCATTTTACTTCAACTAGTTTCCGGCAGTCTTAATAAAGTTACTAAACCTACAATTTGAAACAAATATCGGGAAGAAGTAAGAGAAATGAGGAACACTAGAATGAAGATACTGTATACGACAATGATATCTCTCCAATTCATTTTGAAAAAGGTCAGTAGCAACACCTGTTTGTCAACAGATCGTAAGCATCTCTTAATACTTTCAGCCATTAAACATCCTATCACTCTTGATTATACACTATTAATGTTCCTTCCTTTTTTATTTTTCTTCTCCAAGAAGACAGTGAAAGTACGTCTTGCTTTGCTCCTTTCAAATTATCTTCTAAAAAAATTATTCCTAATTTCAAATGAGCTTAACTGGTACCAGACTTAAGCCTGTAACATATCTATTGATTAGGAATGGTCATAAGTTACTTTTGACTTGAGCTATATTTCCTAATTAAATTGGGTTTTTTTTTAATTTCTCAGTCCATCTTTTAAAATGAAATTTCAGTCTTCCATTTTTCACGAGAAAAAGATGAAAGACAGATAAAAGTGAGACACGAACTCTGACTGAGAAACAAAAAAAAAGATATTCCTATATTCCATCAGACTTTAAGTGAGATGACGGTTAAACCACCATACGAAATGGAAGCTATTAAAAATGGATGTACAATATGCAAATTGCAACTTCAAACGAGAAAATATACTTTAGAATGTGGTACACTGTGCGGTTTATTTTAACAACTGAGATAAGACATATTCCTTAAAATAAGACATTCATTTAGATCTTCCGACCCGCCTGACGCAAAAGATATTTCCGCAAACTTTCTTGACGTTCTTTAAAACTCCTTTGGCGATTCTTCCCTCTCAGTTTATGCCTCACCATTTGGAAATTCTTCCGTTTCATCAGTTCTCTGTTTGTACGCCCAACGTGTGGTCCCTAAAATCCATGTAATAACTTTGATATGCTAGAAAACTCGGTACCTGAAGTCAATTAGCCTTGTTCATAGATAAATTCAAATCTTAAAAAGACCATTACCGCCTTTTTCGGCTTTCCAAACTGTTGACGTCCTTCTCGGCCTTTCTTTACTGTCTCCATACGTTCTTCTTTTGTTTCTTTTCTCAATTTTTTATGGAATTTTTCAATGTCTTTAAGCCGTGTTAAACCATTCTCTTCATTGTGCCTGCATAATGTATTTTCTTAACAGACTCATATCATTATAAATTTAGTCAAATTTAATTAGGATGAAGAAATTAAAAGATGAAATATAAGACAGAAATTTAGCTTCTAAAATACAATGCAATTCACTAATTAAGTAAAAAATCGTACAAGCAAATTTCGAATATCAAAACTTCTCCCTTACGTTACTAAATAAAGATTTTAACCAGAGATGGAAGTTCTTCAAAATTCTCCAAACATAAATGATAAAAAATTGCCTAGCGATGGTTTCTCCCAGTTCTTCTTCCAATTTTATGTCATCGTTTCTTCGCTTCCCATCATATCCTACTTGTTGTTTCAAACGGAAAGCATTGATTTTGCGGAAATCATTTTGAGTTAAGATTCGAGTTTCACATACCCGCCTTGCTTTCTTTTTTGTCTCAGAAAATGTGATTTTCTGATCATTCTACAATGTTAACTTGATTAAGTTTACTTAGTAATTAATCATCGGATTCGGCGAAAAAATTTACCTAAAATCTTGGGTAGAATAAAAAATGAAAGCAGTGATTTAAAAAAAATTTTTGCTTTCTTTACTACTTTTCGCTGATTTTACTGAAGTATTTCAAAGAAATTAGTATTATATTAAAAAATTATATTACCGATGGATACACATAAAAGTCCGAAATAAGTTACCGTTTCAAGAGACTCTTTATTCGGAGATTTTGCATTGTTTACGCAAATATCAGCTACTACTATGTGATTACCGCATGAATCCATATTTACATCTGAATCCAAAGAGTCATGTTCAACAAATTCAGTGTCAAAATCAGAATCAAAATCAGTATCGTCGCTTTCATCGTCCTGCACTTCATAATCATTTTAGACGCTATTACAACAAAATAATAGTTTTATGGCAAACTAAATGTGCAATAAATCCTTTATCATATGCTTACAAAAAAGCAAAAACTGATTCAGAAAGGATTCACAGCGAATCAAAACTTTTAAGGAGTAAGTCTTAAGGGTCAAAATCAAATCTCATTAAAAAAAATGAAATAAAGAATCGAAACATACCAGTTCCCTATCAATTGCATCAGCTTCCACTGGTAAACATTCTGCTCCTTCCACGAATTCTTTCGCATATTCAACACCGAATTCAGCTACTTTCAAATCTTTTAATTTTTGTGTTGGCCTGAAAATATTCCAAAGCACTACAAAGTTTGTCACAACAAAAAGTTAAAAACACACTGTCAAGTGTACCAACCTTCCCCGATCCTTCCTATGTAAAAGCTTCGGATTGACAGCGCGAAACAAAGTGATAATACCTCGTGCCGCCATAGACACATTCTTGTTTTTAAAGCGTTTGTACTGAAAAAACCGCTGATATACAAAAACAAAGAAGTAAAGCAACACCAATTTTACCCAAACAATAGCACTTTATACTTGAGCTATTTCAACAATAATGATTATTTCTTACAATTCATGACTCTTAGAGTATTTGATTTCAGTCACATATAGGGAAGTTTCAGAAATATAAAAAACAAAAGGAAAGTGAATGCATACATCAGTCAAATCTCTAAGTAGATCCTCTGTTGCAGCAAATGGACAGTTTGCGAATATCTCACGTATAGTATTTAATCCAACTGTTACTGCCTCCGGTGTATTTCTGTCAGAAACAAAATTCTGGGCAATAACATACACCAGCTGTTCGATAATATCTGGTGGTACCAATTCATGACAAGCCTGTGCTACATATAGCAATATCCTGGTAATCTGAAAATAAATGTTTAAAGTATTTTGCATTATGGAAATTAAAAATTCCTATCTCCAAAAGTATTAACATTTAGCAAAGTACGGAGCAAATCACGATGCTTTGAAAACATCTGTTTATAAAAACATTTTCATGATAAAAAACGAACTTCTCTTTGTTTTGGCTGGAGAAAGCGATGCATGTAGGAATAAAACGATAATGCTTGCAATCTGTGAGTACCAATCAGTCGGGCACATAGCGCCATACACAGAAGACGCGTTTCGAATTTCTCATTCTTCCTGCTCTCCAATAACCCGAACAACCGCTCAGCAAATGTTTGAGGATCATAAATGTAACGAATTGCTAATAAATTGCAGAATTTTCCGGCATTTTCATTTTTGGATTTTTTGCCTTTGCTTAACAGTTTCTTAGCTTTCATATATCTTTCCTTCTTTTTACGAGTCTTTTTTGCAGCTTTATATGCAACGACAACCTGAAAACTATTTTTGGTGTCTAAATTCTTTGAATGGAAAATGTCCTTGAATAATATTTAAAAATCCAATGCATGTTCAAGTTATTCGGTAAAAATGCACTTACTTCTTTTAAAGTTTTTTGATCTTCTTCACTTGCACTTTCGTCGTCATCTGAATCGTTATCTTCCATTGAGCCAAGGAAAAACCTTATTGCTGCAATCTATAAATAGGATAAATGCACTGTTCAACGTAATGAACTTAGGAGTTTAGAAAGTTTTTGTACTTTTTATTTCCTGCTACGCATCAACCATTTGTTTTTGTCACCAGAATTGCTTAATTACACAGTCGAGCTTATGCTGTATTACTGAAGATTCAAGATGAGGTATGTAGTACTCTAACAAAATATTATGATGACAGCCAAAAAAGTATTCTGTTTTATCTTCTGCCTAATTGATTAGATTATTTTTATCATAAAACATGATTCGAATAAACCTGAATGCGTGAAATTTTGTGAAGACAACACTCTGCTAAAGCGTTCGCTGTTTTAGCATCTTTCAAAAAACCCTTTCGAAATCCATCGACAAGTACCTGGAAAGCATTAAAAACTAAATAATTTAAGTATGATTAAAGTAGAAGTTCTATATCCGAATAACAATTAAGAGAGAGTTGATACCAATTCAGCTGTGCGAACCACAATGGATCGAGAGTCCTTTAACTTCGTAAACAAAAAAGTTCGGACTTTAGACAGCATCTTTTGATCCCGATATTGTAGTGTAAGTTTTTTTATTAAAGCTTTTATTGACCCGCAGATAAACTTCCTGAAAGTCAAATAATACGGTTATTTCCCTTCCCTTAGCTGTATTCCCATTTCATATGGTTGACACTATATTAATTTAGAGTCAAGACGATTAACTCAGTCTTTTCATTACGTCCATGAAAACCGATTTCAGAAATGAGAATGTTCAAGTATTCATGCGTTCAAGCAAAGAATTACAAACTAACCTCAAATTTTTGTCTTCGCAAGGAACAAGAGTAAAAAACAAATCCATAACAGCCAACGGATCAACTATTCTGCGATTTCGTAGTATAACAAGAGCTTTACAAAATGCCACACGAATCTGAAGTTAATCTTTCTCGGAAATTTTATTGAACTTACTTATATGGTTTGTATTGAGTTTGAAAAAAAGGTAAAGGCAGAAATATTTCCTCAGCATATCATATCATTTTCCTAATTTTCTTAAAAAAAGGACTTCTCTAAAGTTCTCTGAAAATCCACAAAATTACCTCTGGGTCAAGTCCTGTAAGTCGACTACTCAGAATTTCCATAATACTAGCTGCATATTCCGCACCCTCTTCTGCAAAATGGAACTTATATTGCTAAATTCGCAAAGATTTATAACATATCGCCACTTTTATATAGCTTGTTTAGACAGATATTCGCATTTTAGATAAATCTTTTAGACTAACTTGGATAGTGACTACTAGCAGACGCCAAGAAATTAATCAATTCAAGCAGTGACTGCAGATCCGCATGATTTAAACTCGGTTGCAATCTTAATAACTGTATTGTTTTAATATAGAAATTGTATTCTGCTAAGAATTCTTCTTTGTATGACTCTGGATCTTTATTTATCTGAAACAGAGTTTTACCATGTCATTCAACTCTCTCTTACGCTCAACACTTCTGTTTGATGTGACAGTATGGATTCATGATTTTTTTATGTAGCATGTCATCTATTCTTTACAAACAAAAGGAAAATTCTGTCAACTAAGATATGACGACATAGGATGAACAAATGTAGGCAGGTAGCCTTGTGTTCCAAACATTTCCATTTACAGTTACTTAAGAAGATATATCGGCAAATAAATAGATCACATCCTCCATGCTTTCATGTACGATTTAATGAAATATATTTTCTCATTTTCCATTTAAGCGTAAAAGATGGTACTGAATTTCACTACCATGTCATACAATAACAAGAAAAGCTTCAAACAAGGAAAATAAGGGTACCAATTCCTGCAATAATCCAAGGTTTGTTTCCAAATGGGTAGCCATTACTCCTGAAATTATGACACGTCAACATCAAATGTAAATCATTTAGCAGAATTTAAAATCAATTCCAACCGTATAGATTGGTCCAGCACCAACCACTTACCTATGCACGCCAAAGGAATTGATGCATTTGTCCCTTCATCCGCCCTGCCTGTCGCATAAGAAACCCAAATGGAAAATAGCGGGCCGAGGGGTACTTCACAGCTAATCGGTGAAAGGTTAAAGATTACTTGGTGGTTAATTGTCGGCGAACATCGTCGACGAGCATTCCACTGGAAGTGTGTATGTGTGTGTTGTGTGTCACAAAGTGGTGCTGGAAATGCTTAGTATGGAGGAATTACTTACGGAACAGAGTGGGAGAAGATTACCCGAAGGTTGAAGTCTTCCAGGAATTTAATTTGCTTGTCTAGTTATACAACAGGCTAATTTGAGATGTGTGACAAAGAATTGTGTGCTTTGGTTAGTGCCAGGAACAGACCCGAATTGCTTATTGCTCTTCAAGACGCTCTGCAGGTAAATGCTTCTTATACCCTTTCTAATTCTCGAGTATGAGTATTTTAAGTCTGAGTTTAAACTTAGTAATTTACACAATGGTATCATCGTATTTTTTTTTATGGTTTATAAACCTAAAGCACTTTGTGTATTTAAGATTAATGGCAAATTTCCTACTTTTTCCCTTCTTTTAGTCCTTATCTATTTATGTAATTTCAGTGTGTGTTATCACCAGAACGGTTACCGTTTGTGAAATATCGCATACTCACTCAACTGGTTAACATATTTCATCCTTCTGTAATTGGTAACTACCTCTTTTATTTTACTGTTTGGTAAGATATTTAGTTGTTAAAAAGCTAGACACGACAAACAGATAAGAGACCACAAAACTATTAAAAAATGCTTAGCATGTGAGAAAATAAGATTATTAAATGAAAATGGAAGTTATACAAGAAGTCAAAAAGACTGTTATTGTTTTGACAAAAGGGAATGAGCAAAAGGAAGTTGTTTTGATCTTAATCAGTTACATTCTTTAATAAAGCGTGTGGAACAGTGGAACATCCTGTAAGAAATAACAGCTTAATCGGTTGAATGTGATTTTAATTATCCCTTTTTTAGTTTAGGATTTGCATTCACTTTAAAAAGGACTGGAATTCCAGGTCTTTTGACATCGAATGAATTCAACGAGTTGTTTACAACATTGTTCCGTTCAGCTCCGTTAGACGATGCTTTCCTAGTTTTGATTAATGCTTTGCATTCTTGTGACGGTTCTCAGATGTTTCGCTTGCAGCATATAATAATTCTACTGGATGATCTGGAGAAAACACGTTTAGAATCATTGCTTGTTGACAGCATTGGGAGGGATCCGAGCGACGGTCAGAAACTATTCGTTTATTATATCTCTAATTTTCTACAGAATTTTCAAAACAAAGCTCAAAGTAATCCATATCTGAGACATATGGATACATTAATATGTTTTTTGATAGTTAAATAAATATTAGTTTTGCAGATAAAAATATAACTATAATTTGTAATATTACAAATAAATATCACGTATTTCTTGTAATTTTAGTGGACTGGAATGTTAAGCAAGGAGAATTATGCAGACTTTTGGGTCAGACTACCTGTTTGGTACATAATGTATTTGGAAATTCTCACCTTTTATGTTTGGTTAGTTTTAATTCTTTGTTTCCGCTTTTTCGGTTTGCAGCATGGAAGAAATAACAAATATGAATAGACGGAGATCCTTAAACTACAATTTTTTTATAACACTTCAATTTCCCGAACATAAATTTCATATGGTGAAGAAGTTTTTCTTACATTCTTCATTTTAAACATCATATGTCAGAACTGAAATTGCCATTTGAATAGAATCATTATTCTTATGTGCTTTGTAAAATTTATTGATGTTTTTCAAGAAATTAATGTATTTTGAAATCAAAGTAGTTTATTAAGGTCAAATCAAATTATACACTACTGAAAGCTTATTTAAACAATCACTGGATTTATTTATTAAATTCGCTTAAAGCTGCTCTCACGAATGCACTAGAGAGATGTCGAGACTCAAAAGATGTGAACATGGAATTCCTCGTGGGCGTCACTTATGAGTTGAGCCGCGGAGATACTGCTGTTGGTCTTCATTTTATATTTTGAAATTATTTTTTCGACTAGAAAAGAGGATGAAATTTTTTTTTTTGAAAAAGATTTTCGAGAACTTATAGGGATTTGTTACGTTTTCTTAATTATATTTAAAGTTTATTGTAACCATATATTGCACAAGGTATTAATCTGCATCGACAATATATTAATAATTTCATAGGCAAAAGAAATAAACGAATAAGCAAAATAAGAAAGGATTTAAATGAAGGAAATCAATGACTGCATAAGAACCTGAATTAAACCTTCTGATATAAAAAACTGACCCAGACTAAATAGGTTTAACTCGTTATACGGTGAGCATTGGCTAGCAACAAAGCGCATGATTATAATGAGTAATGAGCTATCACTTCCGGATGATCTTTGTTCTTTGTCTGATCTTTTTTTCTGTTCTATTCAAGTATTACAAGGTGATATACTCAATGAAATTTGTTCTTTTTAATTTGTCCTATTCTGTTCTAATATTTGTCTAATAGGTCTACTTTCTCGTCCTTTTTCTATTTTATTCCGTTTTGACTAATAAAATTCGGTGACTGATTGCTGGATTCTTCTACAATATTTTGACACATTTTGACACAAGTAGATTTAGTTTACAACGAAAGGTTAATTGAACAAAGAGCTGCCAACTTTTTAACAATCAAGTGCAAGTTTGACTGAAGATTGAAAAGTTTTGACAACAAAGGAATACTCATAATTTATTAAAAAATTTAAACTGTTTTATACATCAAAGAATTATTGAGAATGGCTAAAGAATGTTCATATGTATTTTATCTATATTAACATTAAGCGACGCACATATTTTTTGTTAACAACTGTAACATTGTAGGTCACGCAGACATAATTATTAATTATAATCCAGTTTTCCCAATTTGAGGATATAGATTAGAACTCCTTGTCGACTTGGTTTTTATTCCCAGGTATTTCATATGCTGGTAACATGGTTGGGATCCCATATGGATGATACGATTTGGAGCCGTATTAGCGCTAGACTGCTTACAGATACTTCAAATGGTATAGCTAATTTGGAAAAGCTACTCTTACTTGTTCTGCTTGCAGCAAAAGATGGAAAAATGCTCCAGGTAAACATTAGTGGAATATAAGAATTTTCAAATTTTAAAGTTATGAGGATTTTTAGCTGCAACAGGAAAAAAGAGGATGATATTTGATTTACATATGGATGAAGTGGAAGGACGTAAAGAGCCATATCACCATGCATTAAATATTTTTTGGAGCCTAACTAGAAATTTAGATTAGTATTTTCTTGCTTTGTCAATTTAACTGCTGTATCAGGATATTGCCTATTTTAATGAAATTATTTTGTATATTATATGTTCAGAAATTGTTTGGTAAAGAGATATACAAAAACGAGATAGTAAAACGGATTTTCTTTGAAAAAGCGCTTTTTGTCAAGGTCTTTCCTTCAACAGAACAAGTTCCTGAAAAACTGGCTATGTGTTTGCATTGCGGCAACGAAGAATCCTCTGGTGACAGCTTTTTTATCAGTCTTCTTTTGTATTCAATCTCTAAAAACATCCACTGCCAAATTTTTAACTATTATAATTTGCTTTAATTTATTTGGAAGTATATATATATTTCATCTGATTTTAAATTGTCATTTACTTATATTTCTTCTCCTCACTTATTCCTTTAATTCTTATTTATAAAGCGTATTACTATTCACATTTGTAATAACGCTTATATTCAACTGCCCATAGCAGGTAGTGGACCATGGAGTAGATTACATGAGGATACTATATATACAGCTCTGAATGTTTGGGCCAACGATATTCATGTGAATCATTCTTCCGATGAACAACTTGATTATATTGATGTTGTGCTTCTAAACTTTGTCAAATATGCAAAGTAAGTTTGATTTTGCTCAAGTTTGCGCTGGTCCTTTATTTCTTATATATTAAGTGAACAATCGTCGGGTCTTAAGTATGATATCACCATAAGATTGGAAGGTTTCAGCAAGCAAATACGTTGTTCTATTTCAAATGAAATTGTCACTAAAATGGCTTCTGGTGTCAACATCCGTCTTAAATGTTCAGATCCTCGACGCAGGCTAAGAGGAATGTTTGTAGCAGGTCCATATATTTTTTCATTTTGTTTTACTTATTTTGCATTTCAGGGACATTTAGATGTTCAGAAGGAATCCTTCTTTATAGAAATAAGATTTTACAAGTGAAGTTATGGATTAATGTACAGATAATATTATATTTTTAGAATTGTATATTTTTTTTCAGAAGTGATTACGGATTGGTTCTCTTTGGGTGAGCTGAAATTTGAATTTCCTCCTGAAGCAGATGAGATCATGATAGACTTAAAGAAGATTGTGGATGATGAGTACGATGCAGATGTGCAACCTCTTAAAAATGATAATGAGGAGAAGAAAGTGATACAACTGGAAATACGGGATGCAGAGAATGATGCAGACAAAGTGGATAGTGATGATGATGATGACTTCCCTGTGTACGAAATCCCCGAAGAGGAATTGATCCTAAAAAAGGTTTACATGGCTGTATATGGCCAGTTATATTAGGTGCTAATGTCTGTTATCGCTAATTATGATAAAAAGTATCTTTAGTTACGGAGCTCGTAAGCAATGTACTTTGGTCAGGTTTTTTTTATAGAATGCTTCTTTAGGAATCTTTATTTCTCCAGGAAGAAAATGATGAAGATTACCGTAATGTAGAGATGCCATATTATATTATGGATTGTATTGAGGGACTGAATGAACAGAATGATTATGCCAAATTTGAGGCTGCATTTAACGCATTGAAACCGATGATAAGGTAACATTTAGTTTTTGGCTTTGTTTTTAAACAGGCGTGCTGGTGATTTTTATGTTACTTTTTGGTTTTTCCAGTAAAGGAGTAGGATAGAACAGTGAGGATTCAGGAAATAATGCGAAATGTATCAGTATGAAGTGTTTCCGGTTCCTGGTGACGAAAACTTTTAAGTATTTCATTTAAAAAAATCCGTGATAAAAATTCCGCATATTTTGGTTGATTTGAGACGGCGAGCTGTTGGTTATGAGCAATGTGCAGAAGAACTACTTTGTCGGCTTATCGACCTTAGCAATCGCTTCAAAACCGAATGTTTTCAGGTAATTATACTAATTACTACGTTGTTGAAGGAGTAATATGCATACCGTTGATATTCAGAAGCGAACAAAAACATTTCACGTTATTTTGCAGTTTTAAAATATCAACCAAGATCATAAAAATCATTCTTGTCTGTTATTGTTTCAAAACAAATTTCGAAATAAGTTCATTTTTTATTATGAACGGACAGGTTTCTGAAAAGAATTACTACTAAATATAGTTAATTTTTTTTTTTTGCAGTGTATATTTTATAAATTTTCATATCATTACCTGTAGGAAAAACGACTACAACTTATTCAGTCATGTTTGGTGACAAGTCCACATCTGGGTAGCGTTGCTGTTGATATCATGTTTTCAAGAAAGTTTGTTTGAATTTGATTGTTGCATTATTAAATTCAATCTGTTTCGTATAGCGAAGAAATTCTGGAAGAACTGTTTTTGAAGTGCTTTATTCTACGGGCATATGTTTCTTCATTTTCAGGTGTTCAATGACGAATCGATATATCATTCTAAAGGCTCTGTCCGATGCGGCATTAGAATATTCATCTCCAACCGATGTTGTTGAAAATCTTGATGCAAGAATTCCAAAAAACGGTGATAATGTTGAAGGCATGTTCTTTATATTGACTAAACTCTTCCCTTTATCTTCCCTTTAGTGGTTTAACATTTTTTGTGATTTTGCTGAAGACATGTAATAGTTTTCAGTTGTACAATATATTAATTTTTTTTTTCGTAAACTGTTACAAGTGTGAATTGATTCATGCACTGATTATTCAGGTAGCACAGTTGTGAATGCTGGAAAATTGATTCCTAAAACAAAACGTTTTATGAAAACACCAGTTACGTTGTTGAAAGAAAACAGATTTACACCAGTGGCAAATTCCTTCTTCTATCCCTTGACTGCAATTGATCAGCATCGTGAATATCTTGACCTCACTGTGAGTCTTATTTAGAGTTCTGTGGAACTGATTTCGGTCCTTGTTTACTTGTTTCGGAATAATTCAACCATACTATGTTGCGAAAACACTTGACTGATTACTTAATCATATAGCGTTGTGAATAAAGATAAATTTGTTATTTTTAGGGAAGAGATTCGGAATTATTGAGTAGAATTTTGTTCTGCATGGGTCATTTGATCAGATGTTCCGGTTCTTCTCCATGCACAGTGAAAATGGTTAGGTATGTTAATTGGATTAGAGACTTTCATTTCAATTTCAGACAATATTAAGATTTTCGAGGATTAAATTATACTAGTCGAAAGGTTGAGTTCCTTGGCATCGATAATTTCAAGTAATTTCACTTCCTTAACCATTTTTCTGCAATTTAAAAGCTTTTAAACATTTTTTTTTGAATAAAATTGGATATTTATTTTTGTCTACGAGGATAATTTGTTAGACACTTAAAGTAGTCTTTGCATGCGATAAGCAATGAACCAAATGAATTATTATTTTCCCAGAAAAAATATGCTGTTTTTTGAAATGCTTTCTGGTCATACTAAATTTGGGATTTTCAAACAAAATTTGAAATTTTGTTTCACGAAATAATCTTGCTATCTTCTCATATTTAGATTAAACGACTCACTGTTTTGGAATTATTTACAAATCAGTTTTTAGAATAGTGTTCGTCTTGTTTAAATAGGAACTAGCAAGAAGATTAAGTTTATGTCAGTTATAACTCAGTCTGATATTTCACTCGTTATAGGTCTTCATATCAGTTATCTGAGCAGGAACATACTGTGTATTGCCATATTTCTTATTTTTCATAAAATTAGAGTGTTTTTCTTCACTGCAGTACCCTGGCTTATCTGCTTGTTCCGCTACGACATAATACGAATTTTGCGGTGAGACAGGCTGTACTTTTTTGCTATGCTTCTATTTGTGTATCCTTATCGAAGGAGGTATTACTTCAGTTCTATTCAGGTAAACATCTGTTTTTTTTTTTTTTTTTTTCATAGCAATCATAACAGAGTCGTCATTACAATTAGATTTTTATTTACCCTAACAGAATCGATTATCAGTTTTTATTTATATTGTGGAAAATGATCGCTAGAAATTCTAATAAGAGTGCAGTAGTCTTTTTTCTCTTATCCAATGCTTGTTAATTTTTTTAAAACAAAATTTCGACGCTAAAAGACATTATTTGAAATGGATTTAACTTTTTGCAATTTATTTTAATTTTTTAAGATGAATTAATCGGTTGGTTAGAATATGCTACGAAGCTAGCTGAAGCTGATCCGTCAACAGAATGCCGACAAATCGCGCAAATGGCAGCTGAAACCATTGCTATAATTATCTCTGTTAACGACTAAGAAATTTACTGAAAGAATCAATTACACCGATTGGGCAAAGTTGGCAGAATCATTGAAAAATTGATCCTTTTTTGATGGCGGAAGAAGCCTCCTGCTTTGGAACATCTTCATTTGCATCTGCAAAATATTGTGGAAAATGATCGCTAGATTTTAGTATTTAAAGGAATTTTTCGTCTTGCTTCATATACTTAAATTTTTATGAATTAGGAAAGAACTGATCTCATTAAATTTCACTTAATAAATTTACAAGAAATTTCCATCTTGCATTATAGCAAGTCGCATGACAACTCGATACTTGCTTCAATTACTAAGAATCAGTCCTTGATCTAGTATAATAAAGTTATTCAGAAACGTGCTCAGATGATAATGTTGTTAAAAGACATCGCGTAAATTTGGACGTAACATTGGTCCATAAACATTTATTTAAAAAATGGGGTGGTCGTAAGTCATCGTTCCTACATCTGCTCAGTTATAACATTTATCATGGACTGGCATTCTTTTTCATTATCTTTCGATGCATCTTTTTAGCGTTAACTAAATTAAATTAAGGTGAGCAATTTTCATGCACAAATTTTTAATTATTAGTGCACTATGTCTTAGTAGTATTGTGAAGCAGTTATTTCTTCATTTCAATTTCAATAAAATTCACACTGCTGTGCAATTGGTTCTGCTCTAGCTCACGTGATGTGTTGATCTGAAATAACTTACTAAGCTTAGGATAAGGTGGCTATTAATGCCCACCGAGTGTCACATTGTCCAAAATAAGACCACATGTATATGAGACACAATATACAAAGATGCATTGGCAACTGGCAGTGTCAAATTGATGGTAAAGGTATCCTCTGGATGGGAAATAGACCGATAAGGGAACATAAAAGCATAAAAAAGAGTGGACAGCTGAAGGTGGCCCATTGGTTTTTTGCTGCGGAGGATCTGCCGTTGCAATAGTCATCATAGCAGGTACATACTGAAATGTAGCTGTCATCGCTTAATTCGGTTGGTAGTTTGAATAGTTCGCGCTTTCTGCAATGTATTCAAGTTGTCAGCTTGAATTGATTTGAGTGCATTCTTTGAGAAATATAAGAAGGAAATAAGAACCTATATTGACGGCAAGAGTCGCGATGCATCCACCTGTACCACGTGACAATTGTTTGGTTGAAACCATTATAGAGAAGTTCATCAAGGCATCCGCGAATATGACCTCTTATACGAACTCCTACAAGCTGTTCATCTACAACAAAATTACTCTGATTTTTTGCAACGTAGTAAGAAGTTATTTTAGGACTGAATATAGCGAAGTCTTGCATATATATATATATATTGAATATAATAATATCTAATTTCTCTTTTCTCCATTCAAACATTTTTATTGCTGAAATGTTATTCAAGCTTCCTGCACCGATCCAACTAGAATTTCAATCCTATATGATATTAATTTGAATAGAATGAAATACCAGCTACAGCCGGTTCTTCCCACATTCGTATACATATTGTTGGACAATAAGTGAACGGAACGGCTTGTGGGTCAAGATTGTTCTCGTTACACAGATCTGTGAAATTTTTCGGCTTTTTGTAAATAGAAGAAAGAGCGGGCCAAACTGCTTCATACAGTCGCGACATGCAGGAGAAACAGCGAGCGGTATCTGGAAATTAAACTAATAGATGGATAACGGTCGATACTTGACAAATTCATTATAAAAAGTCATTTCACCAATAACGACGACTTAGAGATACTGATACACATTTACTCATTCATATCTGAAATGCAGGAACTTGCAATGAAATAGTGCAAAACCGGCACTCACAAGAACCGGATTATTTTCATTTGTGATTAATGTGAACTTTTCTCCTTTCGCAGGAATCCATCCAAAGTATTTCAAGAGTTTGGTATCTACAAACATCAGAACACTGAAGAACTGATATGTAGTTAATTTAAATATCTGTTTGCAACTCACCAAAAATTCTGCATCGCTATGAAATCAATTCAATTAATATTTGTAATAAATTTTCCTATATCAGAAAAAATACACATTTTCTGCATTAAATGATACTTCATTTGCTACCATCAAATTAGTGTTATTACTAGGAATGTTAACATTGAAATCATTAAATGAAATGATTTGGTGAAGCGCAGACTTGTTGCCATCTGCACTTTTCTAACCCATAAATGTTGCTGTATAATTGGGAAGCATCGTTGCAGCACTGATACTCACGGACAACAACGCCGATACTGCTGCTGAGATCGTTACGAAGTGGAAATACATCGGCGCATCGCGTAATATCAGTAACTGTAGAAGCACAGTCGCTAACCAATAAATGGGTCAATTGGAAGTATGACGAAGTATTGAATCCAGAATTTGAGAGAGATATTAACAATACTGAATTGTTGCAGATGAGTTATTAAATAACAGTGATGTACTGCAATTCAAAATTGCCTCTGATATTAATTGTATGCCAAACATAATTTCAGTAATAGTTATAAGATTTATAAGAGTAATCAACAAAGTTTAATTTACAAATATGCTGTAAATTAAACTAAAAGATAATAACACACAACTAGTAAAGGCGATTTTTGTTTTCTGACACTGAGTAGATTTGTTGAAGAGATGTATTTCAAGCAAAAGGTTTGTCTCCATATGTGTGAAAATTTCAGGTTAAAGGGAATTGAAATTGAAATTCCTTTTAATTTCAAATTCCCTTTAAATTCAAAAAATTAATTAATCAAACCCATAGAATTTTAGTTGTATTGTTTAAGGATGATTTATCAGAGTTACGTACTATTCGCGAAATCTATTGCAATAAATGAAGTGAATGGGAGGAAATGTCAGTCAGGTTGAAAGAAGACGAACTATTTAATGGCTAGTGGAATAGCTATGAGACAAACTTGAGCAACATATAACTAACTATGACATTAGTTAGGTCCAGCAAGCATATTCAGTTGATAATATCGAAAATGGTTGGACGCTTCCGGCACTTCCGACGATCAATCCTTATTTGACAGAAAGTGAATGAGAACAACCGAATAGATTATATAATATAAACACATCATCATAAAATTCTGTAAATGACGAGAAGGACAACCGAATAGATTATATAAACACATCATAAAATTCTGTAAATGAGGTGAGAAAGGATGACAGCTATTAAGGTAAATCTTTTTTCCTCAAGTAAGACTTGACGATTGAATGAACGAGTCTCAAAGATTGATTTCTTAGAAGATTACTATTTCTGCTTCCATTTCTTTATTAGTTGAAGCACTCACTCATCAATTTAAGTGCCATCAAATCCTTTTTCAGTCTTTTTATATGTCCCACAGTTCAATCTACTCAAGCAATATAAACGATTGTAAAATGTTCAAGTGAATATTATTTTGTTTATGATTAGTATAGCAACTTACGTTAATTTGAATTAAGATTAGTACGAAATTTGGTGTAAGTGCTGCAGAAAATTGGATTATTAAATGTCGCATAATTCTTATCTTTTATATATCAATTAATTAATTAAGTTTAATCTCCAATGCGCAATGATTGGTAAATAATGTATAATAAAAATTAATGTAATTGATATGGCAAAAATGTACTGATTAGGGGAATTAATTTAAAGTAAAATATCAATAAGAAATGTATTTATACAAAAGCAAAAAGCTGAAGAACTAAAGTTACATATTGCCGAAAATCTGAGAAAGTATTTTGTTAGATATGAAACGCTACGAAGAAGATTTGCAAAAAGCATAAAAAATATTGTGATGAGTATAAATGGAAATAAGAGCTTTTCATCTCTTTTTTTGTAATTGCATTCGCAAATGAAATAAATTAAAGAAGCAAGGAAAGCTTTAGGAAAATCACAGTGCGTATTTCATCTTTATGCTTGAGTATTCGGGAAAGTCGAAGGCTATAATGAAAAAGAAATCCATGGAGCAAAGTAAAGTCTGATCATATGCGATATTTGGAAAGTTCCAGATAAGATAAGCAAGGAAACTTTTCAATGGAAAATTAAAAAGGATTATAATGAATTTCAATGGGCATAAATTACTATTGCAAACTATTAATTTACTTTGTCAAGAAAGCTTTTAATTACCTCATAAATCCATTACAGATATCTATTTTGTTGCATCAAATTGATTACATACTTTTAAAAAAATTTTTCCCTTACATTAGCCAATTTCTCTCTCATAAGGAATAATAATTCAGCGATGTTGCGCTTTCGTACTTTTTTTCATTATAGCATTCCGTTGCTGCAAGCAATTCTCTGAATTTCCATGAAAGAGTTTTGCTCGTTTCTGGAACGAATATAGCCGGATAGGAAGGTATTATGCTGAGCTGTCTCTTTAGCAAAAGTATATATATATATGTATATGATAGATGGAGAGAGAGAGAGAGAGGAGGAGAAAAAGATAGGTAGATGGCATTGTTTACATAATATATAAATTTTATCAAATTCGACTTAACTGACCCTTGCAAGAGAGAAATGGCAGGTGAATTTTGTGAAGTCGAAAATTTTTGGAATCTAAGCATATGAATGTCAATAGACTCGAGAAATACTTCCATCTCTTCTTAACTGTCAAACGACACTAGCGTGTATTGTTAGATTTCAGAACATTTTAAACTTTGAAGAATCTGATAAAGAATCGAAATTTTAGAAGACAGCTCGTCGTACACTACTAGTTGCTATATTTTGCTGGATTTATTAAGAGCTAAAGGTCAACCGATACACTGACCACAGTGACACCAATTTTAAAAATAGAACTATCCAATAAATCTGAAAGAGCGTTTATTTTAGTCATTTTTCATGCTTTTTTTATAACTACTTTAGTGTTATAATCAAATTTTGCAACTTGAATAGAACAAATCACATTGTAAATGAATAAACAGAGATTTGTAAGGTATAAGTTTTGAATGAAATACAATCACCGAAGTATCATGAAAGCAGTGATATATCAATGACAACAAGTGGTTAAAATTATTTAACTTTAGAACATTGATCTAATACTGATGGGAGCGTTAAATTATTTTCCCTTGAAGTGGACAAATAATTGTCAAAATCTCTCTTGCACTGCAATTGTTAAAGTAATAAATTTAAATATTAATTTTGGAGGCTCTGACCTTATCAGACATAGACGTATAGCTTCTATTAGCACAACTATTAGAAGTATAGCTTCTTAGTAATAAGCATATATGATTACTCATTCGAAAATGACTGCCTTAATCTAATATCCTAAAAACTTTGCATTATTTGAAAATTGTTCCTCATCTCATAGCTTAAAGATTATCTGAATTTCAACCTTTAATTCTTTGTAGAATGCATTTCCATAGTACCAAATATACCGATAAACAGTTATGGTACTTATAACTGGATGTTTCACATATATATTTCTGTCTCGGATTCAAACGTTATACGTGATGTCAAAATATTTTGGATGAGAAAGTAGAGCCATCAATAATTACTTGAAGAGAAAAAAAGCAAAAAAATAATCACAGCCTTCTTTCCCACATAGTTATAAATTTTAGATTTAATAGATGTGAGATAACAAAAGAAATGATAACTAATAAGTCTTCAAGTCAAATAATCTAGGGATTTAATGTCTGATGGCCAAAAACAAATCTTACTAAGCTTAACCACACATTAAGTAACTTCAAATCATATTGTATTGAATAAATTCTAATTTTTAACAAATTTTGAACATGTAAAACTTTAGGTGTAAAAGTAGTACTTGTTGAGTATTTTTCGAACAGAAATTAATATCCGAACGAAATCGTAAAAAGCATTAAAGTTTATATAAATCAGTGAACAAGTAAAATTTAGGATTAAAAAAATAAAAAAATATGAAATAAATGTTACGTCTAGTGTAAAAAAAGGTAACTCAATAATGGTACCAAAGAGGAAATAGGCTGTTAGCAATAAGAAGCAAAATTAGTGGGTGAAAACAAATTTAAAAATTGACAGAAATGATAGAAATTGGGAAAAAAATTTGATAGAAATTTATTGATATTTCTATCCCTTGAGAGCACATCGAAAATACTTGTTTTAAATGACTCTTTTTAGAAATTCGTAGAATCATGTGGAACCGCAATTTCATACATTGAAAAAATATATTGCTTTGGAAAGCCTCCATAACGAAGTTTGAATGTCATTTAGAAAATCAGTGGTCGTTGAGAACTGACCAGGTCTTTTGACCTTTCTTAGTAATTAATTTTAATTAAAAAAAAAAAATTTGAACTATGCGCTTTCTTGGCTTTAGTGATCGATCAAGCGGAGAAAAGAAAAGAGAAAGAAAAAAAAAATCTACATTTTTCCATCTCTCATATCAATTAATACGTACAATTCATGATTACAAAAAAGAAGAAAGAAAGATAATTATTGCATTTAGTCAAAAACAAAGCAAATTGAATGTGATAGCAAAGAAAAATAAATCTATAATAGCAACAAAAATTTTTCTTCTATTTTGATTTTATGAAGAAAGTCAACATTTTATTCACGCCACGTAATACATTTTACTAAAAATCGAACCAAATTTTTCATTTTCTGTATGAAATAAAGGAATTAAACACTATTTTGTTCGAATAAACAGCGATATGGATTGAAGTGATTGAATTTTCTGATCTCAGTGTGTTAAGCTTTAGATTGAATTAGTGCTAAGAATGCAACTTGCAAAATTGTAACATTCAGAGTGACATACTTTTAAATAATCTGACCGACGACATATTTGTTTTCAAATGCTAAAAAACAAAAGAAAAGTGAAGTCTTCGAACAGTCATTACATCTGTTCAGTTTCATTAAATTTAGATAAATTGCTGGGATAAAAAAAAGAATTGTTAAATTCAACAGCACTTCAGAAAGAATTGTTGAGAACAATTTGTGTCATTTATCCATGTTTTTTTATGAACTATAATAGGTTGATAAACTATGCCTTTTATGTTCAATGTTGTCATGAATGGAATGTTCCAGATCAGTTTTGAGAGACTGAATAAGAATTACTCAATCATTAGTGTATTTAAAAATGTCACAAACTTGGCATCGTATAAGATATCAGAGAATTAGTGAATAGTAATGCTACTTTGAATAATAATAATAGTGAATAAAAATAATAACACTAAGGAACAATACTACTTCCTGTTGTTCTTGGAACTGAAGTAAAATTAAAATATATTAGAAGTGACATTTAGTTTCTGATTAAGTAGATTTTTTTTTGGAGGAGTTTTCGATTAAGAAGTGATTCATGAAGTAGACTAAAAGCATACATAAAAGAAAGAATACAAGAGTTACT